GTTGATGGGCTGTCCTTGATGATATAACATTATTGTACTAGTTTATGTTCCTATCTTTCTAAGTGGCACGGTAATATTACTGTCAGTGTCGTTGGGTAAACTAACATAGGAATGATATTATCAGGTCAGATTATTTAACTGTGCGAGAGTGTTCAGCGAACAGAAAAACTGATTTGAATGTTGAGGATGTAAATAACAGAGACGGTGAAATTGCGAGCAGATGGTTTTTGTAATTAATTCGATATTAACATAATGATATATAAATCGGTTATTAATATATCTAAGGAAAATGAAAGACTGGTAGATCGAGACTATTTTATCTATTCGGAGAGAAAATAAGATTATCTTCTTCTTCTTTTTCTTCTTCTTGTCTATTGTTGGCAAATGAATAGATGATTTATCCGAGAGATTTATTTTCCTAATCGAAATTGAATTTTTCTTGATTGGATCAGCAAGTCCGATTGAAATTAGATATCATTCAAGATTGATTGATGTTATGTCCGCTAGAAACAACTTCGTTAAGAAAATATGTCAACTAGTATGTGTCGTTTTCTCCTTCTTCGAAATATTATTCATTCGCTCACTCATCCCTCTCTACCAATCCTTGATGTATGCAAAGCTATGATGGATGAGAATTCAACTCACTATTCATATGTCGAGTTAGAAGATGCGCTTTTTCTGTGTTGGAGAGTCTTGTTTTTGCTGAATTTTCCGTTTGTCAATGATTAGATTGTGAATCGAAGTAGAAATGTGAGATCCGAGATTTCTAACCTTTATCAGGTTTTTGCGTTAGTCAATAATCGTCGCTTAATGAAGTCAAGACACAACAAACAATAAACCAAATATCAACAGCTGCTCCTCCTCGGCAAGCTACGAGCGTTTTTCTTCTCGACGAAGTATCTGTCTCATGGTTTCGCTAATTGTGATCGATTCGACAGACAATTGCTTCAAGCATCAAGATATATTCGTGTAGATATTCATTCGCGAAAGAATCGAAGAGTTATTTTTCTTTTCTCTTGTTTTTGAGTGGCATTTATCAGGCTAAACATCCACCANTAAACCAAATATCAACAGCTGCTCCTCCTCGGCAAGCTACGAGCGTTTTTCTTCTCGACGAAGTATCTGTCTCATGGTTTCGCTAATTGTGATCGATTCGACAGACAATTGCTTCAAGCATCAAGATATATTCGTGTAGATATTCATTCGCGAAAGAATCGAAGAGTTATTTTTCTTTTCTCTTGTTTTTGAGTGGCATTTATCAGGCTAAACATCCACCACCCAATAAGTGTGGTATTATTTACGTACAAACGCTCTAATTGCGTTTATTCGTATGTCGTCAAGAAAGAACGACAAGGAAAGATAATCATCTCTTATATTTGCAGCAATAAAAACAGCTATCGACGCTCTTCCAGTTGACTACAACAAAATTTTCGCACATTTTCAACGGCTGAGTTTACATTTCTTCCTATCTGTCTCTGTCATTCTCTCGTTCTATTTGTTTCTCTTTCTATAAATATACTTGAACACTCTTCCTTCCATTACACATATCGAACAATAACCTAAACAAAGAAATGGATCAATGTCATAGGTAAATCTACATTCGAAGATTATATGGCAAAGTGCAGCTAGGTTTCCCTTTCTAAATTCTATTATCATAAGCGTGAATACTGAAGACATGACTATGATATTTATTCGAACAATTCATAATTATAATCTTGTTCTTTTTCTTTATTGATTCATTGGGGAATGAAGTATTTGCATGTAATTAGAAATATGATGATTCGGTTCGGTTTTTGCTGACGTCTTCTTTCTTCTCTACTGCCTATAATTCATTGGTGAACATGATTTTCAAAAGATAGTGTATCAACAGCTCCGAAATTGATTTACATCTTTTTGCCTCTTAGGTTTGAATAGACAGAAAGTCAAGTGTTGTCGAGAAAAAGCAATTTTCTACTAAGAAATTTTCATGCCAGTTTATCTCGTTCTTCGTCTTTCGGTTTGCGATTGTTGTTTTCTGTCCTAATTGAAGATATAGATTAGATATGAAACTTTTGCAAGCGGATTTTAATGATGCGATTTAACTGTTCTTTTATTTTTGATTAGGCTAATTTCTAGAAATAACGATCGATCGGCGAACATGCATGCTTGATCGCTTGGTTAACTATGCATGTTTTCCGTTTTCTTTTTTTTCTTTCTGCTCTTACTTTTCAGGTTCAATTAGAGAAACTTGAGAGCAAACACTCGCGTATTTTTCTTCTCCTTTGATTATAGGTTGACAAAAGGCAAGACATTAGTAATTGTCTCTGTTGATCCAACAATAGTTCGGTGATCAGGTTTCTCTTGATGCTTCACCTTGATCGAGGAAGGGAAGGAATTTGTTCAAAGGTGGGACATGATTGTGCGTAATAGGAGCTAGTTAGTGATTGAGGTAAAGCGAAAATATTGAGCGTGACGTAAAGATCATGTTAGTGGAACGTGAGCTGATGACGATGTGTGCAGTCAAACTACAAACATTCGCTCACATATTCAAAGTAAATTTCCTTTCAACATAGAGCGACTGAGAGGAAGAAGAAGAAAAAGGAAGAAATTGTCATAATCATTATTATAATCTCGTATAAAGAATATGAAGGGGAACGAACGAATAAGAGCTAGAAAACAACATGAGGAAGCCGGTGAGAATGAAACTGGTTTTTAACGTTCAATGAAAGAATAGAAGAAAGGAAACATAGGACAGAGTAAGTCAAAGAAGTGCATTGTGCGTATGTTCATTCAGTAGAAAACTGTCGTATGACATATAGCTAGAGTAATCTACTCATTTGAAGAGAACGTATGTTCATCTGACTATGACTGAGCGAGAAAACTCTCCTTGAATTTCTTTTTCATCAACTTGTTGTTATTTACATTGAACGTGTATGCATATTTGGAGCGAAAATTGAGCTAGAGAGCGAGAGCGAGCGAATGTCTACAAGAAAATTGGAATTAGATAGGATATGAAAAGAGGAAAAAGAAACATCTGACATTTATTGAATATGACTGATATTTTATCATCGTGTATTAAATAGAGTTTTGATCATATATTTTTATTCTAGGCCACATATAACTATTTATTTGGCTTATGTCGTCGACGAGTCATCTGACTGTGGCTCAGACCGACGAGACCAAAGTCAATAAACGTCGTAGCAGTTTCAATTTACGTACAACACCTTCAGAAAACTTCCCTTCCGATTCACTTCATTCATCCGCTTCGAAATTCAATTCCAATTATCTCTATAATATAAATGTCGAGCCTGCACGAAAACAGTCGATCACAGTAACGAAAAACATTTCGCCAACACCATCGCTAACAGGCGCCTCTTTAAATGTTCGTCGTAAGCTAAGTGCTATCTCATTACCTGTACCTTGGCATAAAAGAGCACGTTCGCCAAGTGACGACAAGACATCTGCAGAACCGCTTGCAAAAAACTCACAACACGATCATCAACAACAGAAATCTCATAATCCTCATAAAATGTCTCGAGATCGACTACTCACATTAGATCGATTATTTAGTTCTGTTACACATACTACCCAGTCGACAAATGACGACGAGCAAATTTCACCACTAACCGAATCTACTGCACTCGATTCATCGATGAGGTCGAACGATAGATCAGTAAAATCGATGAAGGAAAATGGATATTTACACAATACATCACATCTAATGACAAGGTATAAAAAAAAAAGGAAAAAATCTCCCTTAAACTCATCTATTTTATGACCTCGACTAATCTAAGGAGTATTTTAAGCGACAGTTACTTCCTTTCTAAATGAGACTAATGTACATATTTCTTTTACAGCGTCACAGATAACTAAATGGAGATAATGTCATAAAGAGAACATCTGCTTACTCTTAGTTTGAGTGTGTGTGTGTCTCTCCCTCTCTTCTTTTTGTTCCTTTTCCATTTTTTCTATTATTTTATATATATATATATAACATAAAACTATATAACAATTATTGTCTCTTCTTCCCTGTTGACATTCGATAAAAGAAATGTTAGTACTCTCTATTCTGTATTTTTAATATATAAAAGTAAAGAGAAAATAGTTGCTTTACTTCTAAATAGACCAGATCATTTCTATCTTGTCTATTTCCAGGCTGCAGTGTACAACGAAAGGCACGAAGGCATTGCGCCTTCTAGGTGATGGTGGTGTAACGAACAATTGTGATAAAAACAATGATATAATGTTTAATATAAAAGATTCCGCGCTTGCTAAACTCGCAGCACGTGGAAATAGTCAACGTCGTCTCCTACTAAAAAATGGTGAAGTCAACATATCCAGGTAACAAATGAAGTTTTTGCTTATTACTATTCAGGCAAAAAAAAGAGGAAATTGCTCGACGATCTATGAATGTGTGTGTGTCTATAGACGAAAGTAGAAACCAAATCGACCGGATTTCTTTAGTCTATGTCAGTGTACTTGAATGGTTTAGAGAATATAGGAAGAAAACAAGTGGCGAAAGTCATGATTAAAATCGATTATATCTTAAGAATGAATCGATTGAATCTTTATTTATTTATTTATTTTGATTCAAGGAGAAAAAAACAGAAAAATCATTAATCATTGATGGAAGTTTTTGTTTTCTTCTTCGACAAATAATAAATCATATTTGGTTGACAGTTCCTTACCAAACTAGATTACCACTACTCATTTCATTTCTCTATCTTATCATTATATACAGCTGAACATCTTTCACTATGCATGACTACTTTTTTTTCCATGATTTGCCTTCAATAGTAACCACAGATCTATTTCGTACATTACAAATGAACGTTAAATCAATCAATACTTGAATATGTATATACCGATTGACTTTTCTTCGTTTGTAGACTTTCATGTCGTATGTTAGGACTGGAAATGAGTGGAACGAAATTAGTTTTAATTCATAATTCATTGAAAGAAGAAGATGTACCGATAGAATTTTTTCCATTGAAAAATCCGAACAATCGATTTGTTTCTTGAGGACTAAGTGTTACTTAAGCTTTCCCGTTCTTGAGCAGTGTTTCTTTCGTGAATTTGATTGATCAATAAGAAAGAGAGAACGAGAAAAAAACAGAATAAACAACAAGCAGCACGATTTCAATGACGTCGTTTGTAATATAGAAATTATCATCACATTTCAAGGATATTTCAATGAGGAAATAATCAACACTTAGAAGAATTTTCATTAGCATAAAATATAAAAGAAAAACATGAAAGCAAGAGGATGAATTCTAACAAGTTAGTGTTTGTCCTGAGTTGTTAGACAAATAGAAAACAGTTTCTGTCGTACATTGATTTCACATAAGTTCGAGATTAATACGATTGAAAGAAGCTTGACTAAGTTAAATTGTGATCTTAGATATCTTCATCACACAAAAAAGAACAACTTTTGCAATCTCTTGTTTTCCAGTACAACTTTGATTGTTGTTTGAACATAGATTCAATATTGAAAAACGCCGCCGGCAATATCTAGCGGACATTTTCACAACATTAATTGACTTGAAATGGCGATACACCTTATTTCTCTTCACACTCGGCTTCTGTTTAAGCTGGTTAGCATTCGCTCTAATATGGTATTTATTAATGTACATACATGGAGATCTTTTACCTGAACATAGTCACACAAATAATTATACCGCGTGTGTTGCGGGTGTACATTCATTTGCTGGTGCGATACTTTTTTCAATTGAAACTCAACAAACAATTGGCTATGGAACTCGAGTAGTCAAAGAAACGTGTTATTTCGCTATAGTTGTTATGATGCTTCAATCGAGCATAGGAGTTTTATTGCAATCGTTTATGGTTGGTGTTGTCTTCGCAAAAATTTCCCGACCGAAAAAACGTACGGAAACGTTAATTTGGTCACGCGAAGCAGTTATTTGTTTACGTGATGGACAAATGACATTACAATGTCGTGTCGGTGACATGAGAAAGTCACATATTGTCGAAGCCCATGTACGAATGTATCTGATAAAAAAGCGTGTGACTTTAGAAGGTGAAATTTTACCGTTACATACGTATGATATGAATGTGGGATTTGACAAAGGCGTCGATCGATTATTTCTCATTTGGCCGTTAGTTATTGAACATATTATCGATGAACAATCTCCTTTGTATGATGTTAGTCGTGCTGACCTAGCGAAACAACGTTTTGAACTAGTTGTCATACTTGAAGGGATCATTGAATCGACTGGTATGACAACACAAGCGCGAACATCTTATTTGCCATCGGAAATTTTGTGGGGATATCGATTTGAACGTTTAATAACATTTCAACGTGATGATGGACTCTATCGGATTGATTATTCGCGTTTTAATTTAACGTATCCAGTTGATATGATAACATGCAGTGCTAAAGAATTGAAAGAATTACATGAATTAGAAAAATGGCATGAAAATAATCAATATCATCATCAGGAGTAAGTTAGTTTTGAAAAATCACATTGCACAAGACGAGAAACTGTCTCTTTCCTTTTGTTTCAGAAAACTTGATAATCCCATAACGGTGCCGAATACGGCAACGACAACAGCATCGTCTTTCGTTTGGCAAGAAAAGAAAGAGAGCACTTTGTGACTGTCACGTCAATATTACATCCAGTTGTTTGTTCTTGTTCGTACAATTTCGATAATCTTACAATAATTTTGCGTTGTTTTCAGGTGATAGCACAATTGTACATAATGCAAAACTAACCAGTGATTTAGCTCAAGCTCGGTTAAGATGATCGTTTATATTTTGTTTTACCTGTCGAATTCGATAAACGGTGGTTAGCTTCAATAGATATTTGTCTATCTATTTAGTTTTTCCTTCATGACTTTCTTGTTAACAGTTTTTCTTCCTTGAAATAATTCTACATGCTTGATTACTAGTTTCGATATGCACATTGACTGTGCGCATATGTGCCTATGTACAAGAGAAAACGATACACGAATGATGATTCTCGCTTACTAATTTTGTCTAAAAGCGATGCTTTTAGTAACAAGATTGTTGCCAATATTATTTGTATAGAAAACAAACAACGGAATGAGCATATAACAGTTCCTTGATGAATTGTTATGAAGATGACAGGCACTTTCTTTTAGATGTGTATTTTGATTAACCGAGAATCATTTGTATAATGACGTCGGTAAAATATCTGCCTACCTAATCATTATTCGGCTTTAAGCTGGGTATATTCAGTAGAATGAAAAACAAAATCAAGCAAATAGCTTTGTTGTGTTTATGCGACATATGTTAGTGTTTAGGATGGAATTTTGTTTATTATTTTTACAAAAACTATGCGGTGTATTTGTTCGAATAACATGATCAATTATGTTATTTGCACAATGTCACCATACATTAGTATCGTCTTGGACAAATGAGCGCCGAAATTGATCCTGAATGTAAAACAACAGCTGAAAGTCAGAAGAGTGTTGATTAATTGCATGTAACTAAATTTGTGGTTGTAGTAGAGCGATTTTTTGGTAGAACGGCGTATTTTTGATTTTGTATTACAAATTTTCAAAATTTCCAAAGGGATATACGGATGATATGGAGCTGGGTGTTGAAATATCTTGTTGTTAAAATTTTGATCGTAATTCTTCTCGAACAACGTTCATGTTTGATTGTTTCTATTGGCTATCATTCTCTTCATTCGTTCGATGATTACCTTTCATTGTGTTCGTCTTCGATTTGAAGATGAAAGATAGCAAGTACTTTTGTCTACACGTGTCCAACCTAATCGTTTGTATTCAGGTCTTCCGAAAGCATACACATGCGGAGGAACGATTGGTGGCGGCTGTAGCGAGTGCAAAGAATTGTAATATTATACATTTATTAAATTCATTGACTGACAAGCTTTACTTAATTTAAAGATGGCCGTTATGTAATTCAGAGCAAACGAATAGGAAAACGAAGCAACGAAGAAAAAGAAGTTAAGTGAACGTACAAAAAAAACAACAATATTTCTAAAAAGCATGGAATAAAGAATTGTCTTCAAGCGTAATGATTGTTTTTCTCCATTTTAGCTCTTTGTATTCGATCGTAAAGAAAATCCGGCTGTGGGCGTAGAATTAAATGAGCAATACGACCTGGTTGCAAGCTCTCTCGCTGTAAAAGCCCATTTTTATCGTAGTTTGGATATGAGCGAGTCGTTCCTACAGTTCCTTCCGATAACTCATTAGTTGCTGACGTTGTAATAGTTTGCATTTTGACCGACTGCGATACATTATTGAGATTTCTCGTACTCGAATCACTGGCTGACGAATGATCAACGTGGAGTTGAGATGATGTTGAACGTTGATGGAAGCCACGTTGAATAAAGAATGTCTTCCATAGATCTCGTTTTGGTTTTGATAGGTAAACATGGAAAATAAATATGAAAAAACCTTGAAGAGAATTGCTGACGCAAAAGATCAATTGATGAAGAAACGACGGACGAATTAAAACTAAAATTCCAAAAGCCCACGCGCAACCTAAATGAAACAATATCGAACTCATCCTACTTTCTATCTATCAAAGCCTTTACCAATAGATACAAAACAACAAATAGCTGCACTCATTTGTATTTTCGATCGATTACTTTGGTTTGTGAGAACACTCGGATTGCGTCGGCAAAGGCTGAATAATATAATAATAAAAAGGGTTAGATTACATAGCACTATGACAGATATCGGTGCGAGAAAAGTAACGTATCGAAGAAGTTCATCATGTATCCAACACCTTGTTTCACTTTTGTAACCACCATTGATACCAATCGAAACAACAAGTATAGGAAACATCAAAGGAAAAATCCAACCAAATATTGTCGATTTAGTAATGAAATGGGAGACGTGAGTATTAAATATTCGAACGAAATACATATATTGAATGGAACCTATGATGAGCATCCATGTGAATGATGTTATCATAAAATAATGAAATAGAAATCCGACAATATTACAATAATTAAATTCTCTAATTTCTGGTTTGGTAAGACTAAATGGTATGTAAAGACAATTAACACATAAAATGGATAAGCAAAGCATGAATAAACTGTAGTGAAGATAATTCTTTTGTGAACGTCTAAAAGAAAGCAAAGCGAAATTTATGACACTGCAGCAAAATTTAACTTTCTCATTTTACCGGAAGAGTAAATAAGTAATCAATGTTATAACAAGACCGCATATCGACAAACCGATACCAAGGTATGTTACGAAAACTAAGATGAATTCTTCGACATTCGATAGAGGCTCTTTGAGTTGCTTGGATTCAGGCAGCTAAAGAGAAGGTTTTCATAAAGATTGTTCAATACAAAAACTCTGATAAAATTCTCTTTGCCTACGACACTTCTCTCTAAAGTATGAAGATGAATTTGGATGGTCTGTTGAAGAATACACTGAATCCGAATTTTGCTCAATGCTCTGCTTTAATCGATAGTTTCTTTTTTCACATACCAAAAGCAATGCAAAATGTGTCAAATGATCACAATAACATTGAGCGTAGTTATCTTTGTATCCAGCAAAACGACATCCGTTATCTTCGATCCACGAACCACTGTTTTGATCGAATGACCAATAGACACAAGACATATTTCGTGCTTGCATTACCTGCATGAAAATAAATTGAAATCATCGATCGACTTCTCAACTTTCTTACTTCTGGTATTCGCATTTGAAATCGAACTAGATCATCGGCGATCTTAATCGTTGTCCAATTCGCTATTTGATATGATATCGGTGTTCCGAGTAATTGATTATCCGTTTCATTGCTTTTATTTACTTGTGGAAATAAATTAAAGTTAGAAAACATAGTTTCGATAATACGAAATTGGTCTAATAGTTCAACATGTGTTCGTAATGCCCGGATATTGATTTCAATGATAGTATTCGAGCCATCATCAGGCGTATCTAGTAGTAAGATAAGAGCAATCGTATGAGATCATGAATATGATTATGTGAATTGAAATACTAGAATTGATGGTAAACCAATCGTTATCACTGTGTTCTTGTTGCCATTGATCAGCATTGAGATTGACTATGGAGGTATTCATGTTTTCATAGCGAAAGGAATTACCATTTTTATCGTCATTTATTTCTATCTTTGCTGGAAACAGATCAAGAAAATGGAGCAATCTAAGTAGGGTGGATAAAGATGCTCAATAGATACAAAAAATAGAATAGATAAAAACTCATTACTTGTTGGTGACTTTTTTCAAAGAACCATCGTCGTTATCGATTTGCTCAGTAACATCAACTAGTTGATCCACAATATTGAAGATATTATTTGCTTGTTCGTTTGTAAACGATGGTAGAACAAGTAATCCTTCTAGTGCGGCAGTCATTTCTGCCATAGCATTCAGATTTGGGTCGATGGAGCCTTCAAAATTCGATAAGAGATTACTTAATAAATTTGCTTCCGTTGTTTCAACTTCGGCTTCAATTTTAGTTCCATTAAAACCTATGACTGTAGCAAAGGATTTAAATCGTGTCATATTTACAGGTTTCGGATCTAAAAATCGATTGCAGACAAGTCTCCTATGTGATACAAACACAAACCACTCATATGACATATGGCACCTAATGTCGGTTTTACACATCGAATATCATTCATTCGACCGATCTGTTCATATGAACCGTTTTTATCCGGACGAGCGATGATCTCAACGCATTGTTCACCGTTGTCGACAAAACTCGATCGATAATTATTTGGTTCGCCAATATTCCACACTGTTATTTTCTAATTCCAAAATGTCGCCCATATGAAACAATCAATGGTAAAAGTAACTAACCTTTTGTCCGTCAGGTCCGATGTAGCAAAGAAGAGTAGCATTGGCGAAAGATGTATCAATGTATTCATCTCCACACTGAAAAAAAAGATTCGGTTTCTTAGAATGACTGTCATTTTTCAATATTTCAATTAAATAAAGTTAGAAACTCACGTCTGTTTCGTTTTGAGTCCAAGTAACATTATTCGACCAGATCCATTTTGATTCTGATAGACCATCGTTTTCATTCCGTCGCTTTAATCCAATATAATATCCTCGAGATTCAGGACACAGACCTTTACACGTTGTATTGACTAAAGAGAAAAATATCTCTGTTGAAGCAACAAGACGAATCTGTCATACACATATTCATCTGTTTCAATTGTTCAAGCAAAGCAATATTATCAATCACAGCTAGTTCTGACCCGTATTTTTTACACAATTGCTCTGCTGAGTTATATCGTAACACTTCAGTAATTCTTATATAGCAAATTCGTTGAAATTTTTGTGTAAATTTCATTGTCCGGGCTGGCCATGACGGATACAATGGATTGACACAAGCCAGCTGTTCTAGAACAGAGCATTGACCGTTTTTGATTTAGTAGTGGTCTATCGACTTACCTTTCTCTTCTTGACAATCCGTTGTTTCTGAACAATATTGTGCGCAAAGTGAAGATAATGGTTGTCGACGGTGTAAGAACTTTTGTTGTTGCCTATACTCATCAAGGCAAGACTAGCGAGAAGAGAATTTTATGTAGTTAGCAAGATAATGAAATTGTTGAATATACTTCACGAGTTGCTTCAACTGTTTCTCTTGATTGTTCGTATTGACTTGGAAATGAAAGTTTTGTGTTTAAAAATTCATTGGACTCTCGCCGATTTGTCTCGAAGACTTCTATAACGAGATAACCAAAACCAAGAGAGTTGGTCAGACAAAGAAAATCTCATATATCTCACTTGATTCTACTAAGATTACGTATATAACTTGATATATGATGTAATAGATCATGATGTTTTACTTAACGCACAGTAAATCTGAGGAAACTATATGTGATAGTCCATTGTTACTGGAAGTTTGCTCTTTTTTCTTCTCCTTTCTCTGATTCTCCTGAGATTCAAATCGATGAGAAGAAAACTATTTATATTCTACCTATGTAATCTATGTTTATTGTTTTTCTCATTATCCAAGAATTCAAATAAATACCTCTTCGGGGAAATCAACTCTTTTCCTTCAGAATAGTACACTTCAAATTATTTTGCTGTCCTTCAAATATTCACAACTCTCGTGAGAAACAAACACAGGTTACAAGAAGCATTCGTTCATTTCCTTCGCTCAATAATAAGATATTCATTCATTTTCATGTATAGTTGTAGACCGGATTAATGATTAGATTGATATTCTTATTAATCAGATGAGCACGAAAAAAGGTAGTTGAGTTAAACGTGATGCTAATCTTCCCAATGGAATCAAACGTGTTTTCGAAATCTTGCCTGTGTGTTATCAAGCGATATGCTGAATAAACTTCAACTGATTTATTCTTTGAATTTGTATCACAGGATATGGATCTACAACAAATCGCACATTTACGTGAGAAAAAATTTATTAATGTTCAGCATAAAAGGCATTTTGAGTTACACAGCTTAATATATCTTTAGTACTATAACCTTATTTTGTTTATCATGACTTTCTGTATAAAAGCAAAGACGTAGTTTTAAGCTCGGCAAGTATACTCAAGATAAGTACACTGTTATATTGACATTTAGTACTAAAAATAAATGTAAACCATTCGATAGCCATAGTATCTTGCACACGTCTCTGCGACACACCCTTTGTTAGAAAAAAATCTCTTTTGCGTACGTGTGGAATCTAGAGCGAATGATACAGAAAAATCAATAGACTGTTGAGTAAGCTCATCGTGTTTTTGGAAGAAACAAAGAGTAAAATGCCAATATAGAGATTCTTCATAAAACAGAGTGTTCCAATTTCGTTGATAAATGAATAGAAAAACAAACTAGATACATGTATGTTGCATATACATGACCGAGTTTCGAAAACTGAAGAAAAAAATGTACATTCACTGGTGAAAGAGATTCGTGAAAACAACAGTTAGAATTCAGTTTGAATAAATCGTTGTCTAATGCAATGATAATCACCATTTTGCTTTCGTCGACTTTCTTACTGGTCCACTTGGTCCGTCCATTTGTTGTAATTTAGCTGGAAGCACACTTGGTGTAGGATGTTCGATTGAACTTGATACACGCGAAGGTTGCTGTTGATCAAGTGGTGGACTGAATCTATACATTGAAGAAAAAAGAGGCGTTTTCGTGTTCTGATCTATCGGACAAGACAAACCTCAATAAATCATCTGTCGGATTCACGTCGTGATCACCATTACTCTTTTTAACTTTCGCATATTTCGGTTTTGAATCAGGTGGCACTGTTTCAATGATCGGTTTCACGTGAATTTCATTATTTGTTGACGTTGTTATCGCTGTATCTTCTGTAGCCTCACGTTCGCGTCGCTCTCGTTCTCGTTGTTCACGCTCATGCTTTTCGCGTTCACGTTTCTCGCGTTCTCGTGCACTTTTTTCTGCGAGTTTTACCAATTCTTTATCAAGACTAGAATGAACAAAGGCCAGGTTTTTTTTGTCAAAGACAATTTGTCTATTTCTCTTACCCATGATTATTTTCCGATATGACTGGCGCGGGTAATTCCTTATCAAAACCATCTTTGCCGCTAAGCCAGTAAGTCTTATAGTTACCTCGACCCTACATTTATTGAAAATAGCAATGCTTTTCATGCGTATCAAAGTTTTCTATCAACATTTACCTTAATTTCCGTAATACCGCGATATTCCAACTTAAAACCTCCAATTTCTTCGAGCAAACCGGCTGTCGTTTCACTGGAATGTATTCGATAAGCTACAATTTTCAAAGAACCGAGCAACTGCTATCTCATATCAAGTTTCTGTGACTTACCCATGCTAGTTGACTCCATTCGAGAAGCTGTATTAACAGTATCGCCAAATAAACACTAGAGGTAAAGATAGAAACCATATGAAAATTACAAAAACAATGACATCGAATTCTATATTTACATATCGAGGCATTTTCAAACCAACAACACCTGCAACACATGCACCTGAATGTAATCCAATACGTAGTTGCAATGGCACACCGGGCATATGACGAATTTTGAATTTTCCGCAAGCGTATAACAATGTCAATGCCATAGTAGCTATTTCTGAAGCATGTTTGTTTCCATTCTCAATTGGAAGACCACTGACAACCATATAAGCATCACCAATTGTCTCAACCTAGATTCGCATTAAAAGGACACAATAAGTGAAGAAAATTGATGTATGACAAACTTTATAGCAATCGAAATCCTCCAAAATGGAATCGAACATTGTATACAAGTCATTAAGTAAATCGACAACTTCCATGGGGCTACTCAATGCTGATATTGTTGTAAATCCCACAATATCAGAAAAGTAAATTGTAACACATTCGTACCAAACAGCTTCCACAGCTTTGCCCGATTTAAGACTATCTGCGACACTCCTAAAAGTAAAAAGGTAAATGGAACAGTTCCTCTGTGTGTAATCAAATGAATGATCGTACGGTGGTAACATTTGGGATAACAACTTATCTGTTTTCTTTTTCTCTTCTTCAAGTTGTGTAGTTCGTTCTTTGATCAAATCTTCGAGATTGTTCGAGTACTGTTCTAACATTTTAAACATCGTATCGACAATATTAACTTTCCTAGAACACAAACGAATGATAAATTCTCTCCATATCGTTTCTTCGTTTCATAGTTTATCTCTTACTTTCCACCATTGAGTGATTTGATAGATTGAGCGAGATCATTGAACGATGGTCTTGTTTCTGCTTGCTCGGCCCAACATTGTTTCATCGAGTTGATATATTCCGGTGGCGCGACTTGTTTAGACACAGACGGTCGCAATAATGGCGGTGGTTTCTTTATCTTCGCAATGATTTCTACATGCATACAAACAAAAACTGAGCAATTCATTTTTTATTGTCCAGAATAAATCAAACCTTGTGTTGTTAGATCAAGCATACAAAATGGTGGCCCGCGAAGAATAACTTCTTGCATAATAATACCAAAACTATAAACATCACCAGCCGCTGAACTTGTCATTACTGTTGCTACGTCATTCTTGATAATTGACGTTCGAATATGTTCAGGTGACATCCATAATAAATCTAAGTAGACGAAATATTTTTTCTCTCGCGATAATTCTTGTCTTATATTTATACATACCACCGATGTCAACTTGTCGCGGTGCATTTTGTAGCGAATACATTTCATTCAAATGATAGTCCGTTACCTTCAAAACCCACCGTGAGTCAACAATGCAATTTCTCGATTTCAAATTTCCGTGACATCGTATCGGTGAATTAGTTAAATATCTCATACCCTACACATAAAGTATCTTGAGGATGAAGAAAATCTATCAAAGCAAAGCTGGAATCATACGCGAACTAAATCATTCAGCATCGACCATTTGAAATTCCAGTCGAGTTTGATTTCTTCTTTCTTAAGGATATCCTAAAGCGAAAAGTTTCCCATACCGTACTTCTTGTTCTAACCGAGATATTTCGTAAATACACAAGTAAATATACGTACTTCAAGACTGCCGCGATGTCCATATTCGAATATTAACGCTGGCGCATTTTGATCAATGAAAAGCCCGATAAAAGTATTGACGTTTTCATGACGCAAATCTTTTAATAATCTCAGTTCACGCATCACCTTTGTACGTAGAGATAGCGGACCGATGTGTAATTTTTTTACTTCCACCAAATCACCCTAATTTATCGCATTTGATCTTTCATCTAACATCCGACAAAATTGTTTTTTACTCACATTATAACGAGCTGTTTTTCCAGCCTGAATTTCCTCGCTTCGAATCGAGACATTACTCCGTTCGTGCGCTTCGTTTTTCAAATTAACCTTTGGCAAGAACAAATTAAAAGACAAGTAGACATACGTTAAGGGATTACTTTGCTGGTGAATATTGAACCTTTTGGCATAACAAACATTAAATCATCGGGTAATAAAATGATCTTATTCGGCCCGCGAGACATTTGTTTACGATTACGTTGATTTCTAAGATGAGAAGATTGTTTTGATCACTTTCAAAATCTTTCCCTCCACTATACAAGTCTAAGTATCTTACCGAACAACAAAGAAAGCAATTAATGCAGCAACACATGCAATAACAACACCCATTAATGATAAAAGAACGATGCGCAAAGTACGCCAACCTAAAACAATTTCAATGAAACTATCTATTGTCAGGCAGAAAATAGCGTTGTACTGCAAGTTCAATTACATCTGAACACTTGCAAGTTATATTTAGATATTTATTATATCTTACCACTATCTTCCGCATAGATTATGTCACTATTTGGATAAGTAATACAATTTGTTGAGCCCAAATCATAATTTGTTAAATTTGAATTCACAAGGAATTTGAATGTGGTCCAAGTACCATTGCATTCCCGGCCGATAAAATAGTATTGAAATGAACGTTGTTGAGTACTACTGAATGTAATCGAACCAAATAAAGTCGACCAGCTTGTCGATGTTAAATTTGTTGGTAACGATTGTTCAAGCAAAAGCATACTTTCAAGTTCACTCAGAGCAAAAATAACCTCAAAAAAGCAATCAATGAAACAACAATATTCAAAAGAAATCTATTTACGTCATCGGAAAAGGCAACTGATGGTGATGGATTCAGGATTTGCTGTTGATAGTTTGAGACCATCGACTCAAAACTGTTTGTCATTCCACTATCGACTGGCAAGAGATGAAGGATAGGAAACATTGTTGATGTATAGGATGTGGTGTTTGGTAAAAACTGTTGCGTATAAAAACTTAAAAAGTGATGTGACCAACGAACAAATATAAAAACAACATTGCCGATTGTTGATGTTATGGATTGATACAAGGAAGAAATACTTGAATAAAGATTTATTTCGTCGTTTAACGAACATATAATAAAAAATACTAAAGATAAAAAAGAGAGTTTGGTATGTTTAGGAATATCTGACGAAAGTGCTATACTAACCGCGAGTTTTGAATGTATTGGTTGAAAATGCAGATGAGAAATTCGTTAAAGATATTGTTCGTTCAAGAATAAAACTTTGTTGTGTCAAATAGCTCGAGAACTGTCGGGCTAAACCCGCATAAAACGTATTCGAATTACTTAAAACAATTGAAAAATAGTGCAATGAAAACGAATTCATTATTGAAATAGCTGCCTGTCCCAATTGGTCATTTGTGCTTGTTAACTGTAATAAATTACTGATTGTAGATGTTGGAGTAAAGCAAATTGGACTGCTAACATAGATTGTCGGATGCGTATTGGCCACTGAAGCTGGATACGAACAGTCACCTGTGTTCCATGAAAAGATGACAGCTTGGATATTCACAGCATTTAAAAGTGTCACCGTGGAATTTAGTAAATCATTACTCAATGATGATAAACGTTTTACCGCTGAAGTATTTGTTAACATAGACACATTGGAATTGAATATTGAATTTATAGTAGTTGCATTCTGGTTTGAAAGGTCATAAATCAGATTTTGACAGAAATAAAAGGAAGGAAATATCAATAGAATAAAAATCAAAATACGATAGTCAAGTTCCATGTTAATAACAATCAAGTTTTAGTTAATTACCTCGACTTAGAAGTCAAATATTCCAAATTATCTAAATGAATCGATGGTTAAAGTCAAAGACAGATACATTTATTCCGAAGAGAAAAGCGCGACTGATACTAATTCAACTGAAACTAGTGCGGAATATAAAAGTTTCTTCATGTGTGTGAATGTGGATGTCATGCACATTATTATCTCTCATTTTTAATCGTACTAATGAAGAGACAGAGTAGTATTTTCTTTCATATTTCTCTTTCTTCCTCGGCCCTCTATTTTCTTCATGCGTCTCTATGCTGTTGAATTACCCTCTCTTATACATATGCTTGTTTTTCGGAATCAACTGCAACGGAAAGCGAAACATGATAAATATAATGTGTGAGGGAAGTTGTTTAGAATTGTCAATTCAAGAGTAAGGAACGATGATGACATCAGTGAACAGTAACTTGTTTGAAAGGAGAAAATGAGAAAAACAAGGACTAGAAGGAAAGAGATAATCAAGTGTTAAGAAAAAAAAAACTAAAGTGATTTAATAAAAAGAATAAAACAATACAGGTTCTTTGCCCGTTGGCTTATTCTTTTCAGATGAGAGGAAAAGGTGACAGAAAATAACGAAGTTTTAAGTATATTCACTGAGGATGATTGTGGATGTCGTATCATTAAAAAATGTCGACAAGAGACAGAGAAAGAGAGTGAGAGAAAAGAGGAAGTAAAGAAGGAAGAAACAAAGATATCCGCTATTTATCTCTTTACCTCATATAATTATAATGTAAAGAAAAGAAAAATTAGTAAATTTGAAACGACTTTCCTAAAGTCGGGTTGCTAACAACAAACATTGTATATTCGTGACTTTATGTAAATTATATCATAGAGACTTCTTCGTATGAAAGCTATTTGTGAACAAGACGAGATCGTTCTTTTCGATAGTGGAGGTATTCAATTATATTAGTACCGAATAGATTCATCCAAATGATAACGAATGAAACTGAGTACAAAAAGAGATGTTGTATATGCTCGTACTTTGAGAAAATAGGTGATAAAGAACAAAACTGGCTTGAATCGGGAGCTAATAGGATAGAGTAGAAGGGAAAAGGGGAAAATGGGTGAAAGAGAGTGAGAGCGAGAATGAAAAAGAAACTTTCTATTTTTCTATTTTCTTTTTTGTTGTCTCTGGAAAACTTCGAATATGTAGACGAAGAATATCTTCATTATTCTAACTATCATCGTCGACGACGTAGAATATGTGGCATGTCATTAATCGGCTTAAAAAAAGATGCGTTCTCTCCGTTGTCAAAACGCCTCTTCTCTACTGTTGTGAGCAACTAGGTAAAAAATAAAGATGGTATGCAAGTGACATCGTAGATTTGTGCTTGATGGATTTAATTAGGAAAAATGATGCTGTGCAATGCCCATTGAAAAAAAAATGAAGATACATATAAAGAAAAAAAAAACAGAAAGTCATGGCTCTTTCTAGCGCATCACAACAATAACAACAATATGAATAACATCGCGCAACAAAAGAAAATAAAGTTAATTAATTCGAAAAGTCAAATTTGCACACGATTGTTCCATCAAGATGTGGTACAGGTGTATGAACATCTTCGTTATCGATTTCTTCGTAAACGTAGGTAGGCATGGACGAGATGCCATCGTTCATCAAACATAATTCTGATGGATCAATTCGACGTTTGAAATAGTAGTGACATTCACTGGTTTGACTATCGAATTTCTTTCCAGCTAAATGATGAATACGTGGTTTGATATCACTTAATGTAACATGTTCAACAGGAATATTCAAATAGATCATGTAAGGCACATCTTTATTTTGAATGAAACATGCTAATGGCGTCTTTATTGATGTTGTTGATAATGATGAAGATGACACCATTGAAGTTGTCGAACCTTCAAAAAGGTAATAAAAACAAATAGATTGAATGAAGGTGTCTTGAAGAAAAGTAATTCAACTTAAGACTTAAAGATTATTATTGCATGATTTCTATCTGACAGCAATCCTTCAACTGGGAACGTCGTTGCTTCTAAGTCAAATACGTTTCTACGTCTATATGTGGGACATTTTGAAAAAATTATCATTCTCTTCACAATGAGAATTATATATGACTCTCTCTAGAACTCCTCGCAAAAAGTATACTCAAAGTTCGATGTATTTAACTAAGATGCCTTTCTCTGAGAACAGACACTCAGTGATTATATCATAGAAGTGTAAAATAACTCTTCTCTTCTGAGAAAACTTGGTCCGTTTAGTACATATACCACATCGTATGTGAGTATTGAAAAGGTACAATGACTTGTAGGAATCTTACCTAGTGTTTTATTTGCGTTATAGCTCGCTAGTATATCCCGTTTATAATTCGCTGGTTTCGATGATTTCATTGTTGATGTACTTATAGATGCGCTCAGTTTCTTCGGTGTCGATGCATTCAAACCTTTCATTCGTTTGTCTTGTTGTTGTTTTTTGAGTAAGTAACTTTTCCATATTTGTGATGAAAGAAAATTCGAATAGAAATTTTGATTCAAGTATTTCAACATGTCTTTCATGGCTGGTTGAAAGATTTTATAGGGATCAAATGCACGTTGGACTATCTGTTCTCGAATGTATTCCCTTGTGACTGGTTGTAACCAACTATTCGACATCGATTCATCGTTGATGTATTGTTTGTAAGCCGCGCGTACTGCATGCAAAGCTTGACGTTTATTCGACAATAGATTGGGTATTGCAAGAACGATTGCACAAAATCCAACTAACGATTCGCGTCCATGGATTTGAAGAAATTCGGCGAAAAGTTGAAATGTTTCATTGTTGTAGATAATTTCCGAGATATCAGGTGTTCCAACTGCTGTTGTTCGTCTCGATAAATCTTGATTACTTCCAAGTCCACGAATGTAACGATTCGATAAAGTCGAAGATTGACAACTTCGAATTGAACCTCCGGCACGACGTGTACATTCAGTATCGCTGTACATTTCCTGCTTTTCAGTCTGAATCTATATCTATGAATGAGTATTAAAAAGAAGGAAACATGCAAGGTCAACACGAAAATGACCGACGAAAAAGAGAGGAAAAAAAAAGCGAAGGAACGTATTCATTTTCGTGTTTCTTCTTTTCTATCACTGTTGAACGCTTTCGTCGTCATCACCGTCGTCGTTCTTTTTCCATCGTCATTGTATCGCTTGATTTTGTTTATTTGATCTTTCATTTCGAAACCGCCATCAGCACATCTGTTACGTTGAAAAAATAAATGAATAACATACGTTGAGAAAATCATTTCAATTGAATGAAATTTGAGTGGAACTAAATCTGATCTATTTATTTGTTCGAGAATGTTATGCATGGTTTCGAATTGAATGCAAACACGTCAACGAATTCCAAGATTCGATTCTATATGCGTGAGACGAAGCTATATTTCTATTGATAGCTAATTAACTGTCAAATTTACAATAGGTCGAAAAATTCTTTTTTCGCACATTTACAAGACTTTCATCATAAATTAACACGATATACACCGCTTTCAATGCTATGAAAGTGAGCAGATTTTTAAAACGAACATTTATTTATAATCGAAAATTCCATTGGATAAACGTGATCCGTTTGTTTCCAGTCTATTGGAGCGTACTCCCAGACCTTCACTCGTAGTTTATGGAAGAGACAAAGACAAACATACAGAATTGCCACAAGAAAAGCAAAATGAATGATAAGTTTTAAAAAATCACAATTGTATTATCTTATCAGATTGTCCGTCGTTATCTTTCAATTCGTTTTTATCCAATGCCGCCCACCAGTTGGCCAATAAACCTTCTTTCACAATTCGAGCAAACCATGGTGTTGCTAAACCTTTTTCAACAAGTTCTTCGCAATCTTTCAAAGTCATCGATTGGATTTGTTTCACCTCGTTTTTATTCAATTGGAAATCAGTTACTAAATCCAATTTCGGTGTTTGTTTATGTTTAGCAAAGATAATATAATCGATTTCGCTTTCACCAAATATACCATCGTCGGGAATGTTTCTTGCTTGATAGAAAATTCGAGTTAAATAAACTAAATCGAGATCAAGTTCATAGCCGAGTTCATATTTCACTCGTCGAATGACAGCATGTTTGACACCCTCAACGCCATTCATCTCTATGTCGTTGTACAGCGGATGACTACAGCATGTGTTTGCCCATAAAGATGGATAGGTGATTTTTTCTGGCGCACGTTGTTGTAAAATCAGACGCGATGGCGTAGTAGAAATGTCAAATAAGAAAAATGAGAATGCTCGATGGACTAATGATGGTTCGGCTTCGATATTTTCTAAAAGATGTGCATCTTTCTTTGTTGTTTTTCCAATGATGTTATCGTTCAGATCAACAACCATCAATGGTTCATAAAGTAATGTGACTTGTTGAGGATCGTATTTGTCGAGAAACTCTAAATGTGCAGAACTTGCTAATGTACGGCAAGATGAAGAAACCATGTTCAATGGTCGGGTAATGACGGATTTGATCATGATTTATCTGAAAAGAGAGAAGAGTTGAGAATGTTCTGAAAAATACCTTGAGCTTTTTTTGTAATGTAGCTAGAAATTCAAAACAAAATTGAATCTAGCTGTTCTGTATTTAATAGAATTGAAAACAAAAACAACGGATCAAAGATTCCCTGATTCAATTACTTTAACGAACGCTATTCGAACCATTTTTTCTTGGTCTTTTGTGGTAAAGGTGTTTTATTTCGAGATTTGGCAATCATCCGGTCCGTATCATCTCGAATTTCGTTCTTGGATTTTGTTTTCATTCGTTTCTGTTTTTTCTTTTTCTTGTTTTCAATATTTGAATGCATAATATCATTCTCGCCTTCCATAGAATTTCCATTATCACCGTTTTCATTAGTTTCTTCGTTCACCTGCTGCTGTTTGATGACATCACTAAGACGAACTTTATTAATGTTTGTTTTTTCCAATAGATGCGAATGTTCTTTCTTCTTTCGATTGCTTTCAAATGATATCGTTTTATCCGTTGGATTTTTTAGTAATTCTTGCTTGGCTTTCAATCGTTCACGACGTTGTTCTTGCAATTGTAGCGCACGGCGATTTTCAATCGAAAATTGTATAATTGGTCGTCGATTAGGACCGAAAACATGCTTATTGTTGTTGAGTAGTTCAATCAATCGTAATGCGAATTCATGACGAGTTATATTGACAAAGCCAAAGCCTTAAGAAAAAGAAAATGTTTTTGTGCTCGCTATGATTGGACTGATGATATCTACAGGTGTAATAGCGAACGAGAGGATGTATATACGGTCGAGATCACGCCATTGATAGAGTGAAATGATTATCGAAAGAATATCGCACCATGTGTTACGATAAGTGTTCTGTTATCAAAAGGATAAACTAACGACTAGTGCATTGACGATTACTAATGATAACACTCAGAGAATTTAGAGATGATTTTTTTTCTCTCTTGATAATCTGCTGTTCGAAGTATGACATGGAGATTGGAGAGAATGTGGTTAGAATGAATTGGCTTGTTCACGCAAAAGTGCTAGTGACCTAAATTAGGTCGAGTAGAAAAGAAAAAAACACAGCAAAATGACGTAGATACAAAACCACTCAATTTTCAGTATGAAATGCTTACCGAGAGATTTTCTTGCTTCTTTGTTCTTTTTCATAACTCGACATTCATTGATAATGACATCTTTCATTGGTATTTTATCTTTTTTCAACGTGTCAAGAATGAGTTTTCTCAATTTATCATCATCGACATTTGGCGGTAAATTGTGTATTGTCAAACGGGTTGGGGAGATAAAATATAATGGATTTTTCAATTTCTGTCGTTTTTCATCTTCCAGCTTTTGCCGTTTTCGTAAATCGTTTTCATTTCCATCTAAGTCTTCTAGCTTTAATATCACACCACAATTAGCCAAGGACAAATTCCGTTGATCATTTTTCTTATTTTTCTCATACTTTTGATCGCGTAATTCTTTGGCTTTGACAAGTTCACCACGACCTAAGGCCATATCAGTTTGCAGTTCTTGACCACGAAGTGTAAATGATGATTTTAAACAGGTTTCGGCGTCAGCTGTTGTTCCATACTGAACGAATGCACTGCCGCGTGGATGTTTAGATACTGGATCAATAACTAAACGACAAGATCTGATGGGATATTGACCATTTGATGACAAAAGATTAGATAGCTCTTCTTCAGTTGCATCGAATGGAACATTACGAACGAATAAAGTACGATGTTCACGCACATCACGACTGCTCTCGGTTGTTCTCATTTCTAAATCGAAGATCAGCGCGATGTTGTCGAATAAAATTAGAAGATCGACTTACTAGGCAATTCTTCTTCATCCAGTTCATCGTCATCGTCATCGTCATCTTCATCATCATCTTCTCCTTCTTCATCCTCAAGATCCTCTTCTGATGGTGGTAGTGATTCTTGTTCTTCCATCGCTTTAGACGAGTTTGACTTCGATTGAATACCATAGCTATCGTTGCGAACCGGCGGTGAGGATTCTAATTAAAATAAAAAGAAAAAGAAAAATACTTGTTATTATTTACAAATCAATTTCGTTCAGAGGTTGTTACGAATATCTTATGAACAATTTTAGACTACCAAATGATTTCTTTGGAATCCTTATCATACCTTTAGTTTGCATTTTTTCATATACATTCTTTGGTAATGACCAATCGACAGCCATCGGACGACCTGTACAAATGAAAGTGGCAACCGTTTATGTAGAACTATCCAACTCACCTAATACTTTTTGTCCATTCATTGTCTGTATTGCCTTCTGTGCATCTTCTAATTTATCAAATGTCACAAAACCGAATCCTTTGGATACACCATCTAAACAGACAAAAGTGGTGATTTATTTTCGAACAAAACTAGTGCACGAACTTCTTGACACAATAGAAATATTGCTGATAGCACTACCACACTTTTCGAAAGCTTTTTTGAGCTGTTCCTCTTTGACCTGAAATGAAAAATAGATCAACAATGTTTAGAAAACAATATTCAATTACTTTGAAGTTGAGATTGCGAACGATAATCCGTGGTACATGAACTTCAAAATTCTTCTTATTTTTCTTTTTCTTTGCTTGATTTTTCTGGATTGTTCCATTAGTTTTGATCAAATCCGACGACTGATCGATCGAGTTCGAACGTTTTTCTTTCACTTTCATCTACAATACGTAAAATACGACCTGCTAAGGTGCATACTAACACAAATACACATAATAAGATTGTTTTTCTATTTGTGTTACTAAATTTAAGACGGAGTATGATTGTATTTAAGCAAGCTCGGTTTCGCTTGGTTAATCTATTTATTTCTTCGCTTCGCTTTAGTTAAACGATTTTTTCTATTGCACTGAATTGATCCAATAAAAAAATTTACCCTTGGAAAAGATTTCTCAATCTGAACAATATCGAAACAAAGATGGCGTCGAAAAACAGAATTCTAACATTTACACCATCCATGTAACTGTTCGATATTACACATTCATCAGATATAATAGAGTGAATATAGATGACCTTTCATGATTTTGTAGAAATAGATGTCAGTATAGAAGGTTTCTAAAAGAGAAATTCTATGAGAGCAGTTTTCATATGAGTGCGATTGGTTTGTTGAAGTAGCTTATCATGTTTTATTTATGTTTGGATGTATTATTTATCAGGGAGAGAAAAAAACAAACTTGAAACGAAGTATTACAAGCTATGGATTTTTCGTCCGGTCCTCAAAATTTGAATCCAACTATTTATGAGCGCACTGAAGAACGAACTATACAAGCATCTGATTACGATAATGATGTAACTGATGAAATCGATCGTCGAGAGATCTTCGATCTCATTCGAACAATAAATGATCCTGAACATCCATTGACATTAGAAGGTTTACTTATCTAACGAGAAAATTCAAACCTATTTGTATATGTATTTCAGAGCTCAATGTTGTCGATTTAGATGGTATCACCATTGATAATCAAGCAAATACAGTTCAAGTGCAATTCCGACCCACCATTCCACACTGTTCGATGTAAGCATGCCAAACAAGAAGATATTTGAGTAGTCATGAGACAGTTCTCTTCGCGCGTTCAATGGCTAAAACACTTTTTTCTTTGTGAATTTTAGGGCAACATTAATTGGTTTGAGTATTCGAGCTAAACTACTCTATACTCTACCAACTCGGTATAAAGTCGGTGTGAATATTATCGAAGGTGCACATATTCAAGAGAATCAAATCAACAAACAATTGAATGATAAAGAACGTGTAACAGCTGCTCTAGAAAACAATCATCTTCGTGCAGTCGTTAATCGTTGTATTGTTCCACAGAATAGTTGAACTGAAAGATAATATCATCTTGTTTTCTTTTCGATTGTTGATTATAGTTTTTAAAACAAGCAGAATGTTGATTGTAAATTCTTTATTTTCAGATCGATTAAGCTCTTCAAAGGAATCCAATGGCAACCGCTGTACCAAGAAATGTTTCACCTTTAATCCGTGCTGGCCGATGGGGTTTACTTTTAACCGGTCTCGTTTATGGTCGTATGCATCACAACACATTGAAGAAACGTGAAGAACGTATACGACAAGGCGAAATCGATCGTGTTACCCAACATGCTATTCATGAACTTGCCGACCAAAAGATTCGCGCTGATCAATCAATGGTTGATTTAGCTCAAGCAGCTGGTGTCGATCCAAGTGGAGCAAAAAAATCTGAAGATGCTAAAAAATCCGGTTCAACTAGCAAACACCATTAGAACAGTTCTTCTTCTTTTTTTCATTCAAACCTCTTTTATCGTCTTTAGTTTCATAGAAATCTATCCCATGTCCTATTCTCATTTGTTTTTTTTCCATCTTTTTCTCTTCTTTATGAAATAGACGATGATCACTAATAACTGTCTCAGTCTTTTATTTTTGTAATGCACTAATTCTCCGCAAGTAGTCATAATTTTTCCACAGGATGAACTTGAGTGCTTTTCAGTTCGTAATTAATATCATTGGTATGATCATAGAAGACATCGTCTTGTTCCTCAAGCTGAACAGTAGTAGCACCTTTTGTCATTGACTCGCTCGTTTCCTCTTCGATAGGAACAAATGCTGCAGGATTAGGAAGCACAATCACACTTTCCGATGGTTTTTTCGGGCGAACAGGAGATTTGACTATCGGCAATGGTCCGTGAATAGATGATGCGCGCCGAAAGACAAGATCGTTAGGGTCAGATTGCATTGATTTGTAAGATTTCGGACTTAAACTCGACTGAATACATTTCTTCGCCGCATATTCACGATCAAGATACTCCATTTTTCGTCGTTGTTTATAAGGTACACAGATCAGCCAAATCAACAGTATAATGTGGATTATAATGTAGCATAAGATTGCACCGATACATACGTATCGATCGATATTGGCGTAAACATTTGTATGCGCAATACCTTTCAAAACTGCCACGTCAGGATTGAGAAAAATAAACGCGGCAATAATTGCGTGCCAGATACATAGAAGGACTAGCATGATTATTGAAATGATAGCGTATTTATCCAATGTTGTAAGATAAGATATTGTCGGCTAGGAGAATGAGAAAGTTTTCATGAAAGAAGAAAAATGTATTCGTTTAATTCTATACCAGTGATCGATTGACAACCCAACGAAATGTAATGGAGGTGAGAAGAAGAGTACATGTTATTTGAAGTCGACTTTGTGGTAAACTAAAAGGATTGACGTCGTAACAATATTATCAGAAAATCTTTTTCAATAGCTTACTCAGGTGGAATAGAAAAAATACAAAATGCACAGATAGTAATTAGAAAAATTAGACAAAAGCCATTCCAATAATAGTAGGCAGGTCGACGCGCTTGAAAAGAGAAAGTAATAGTTGTGTCGATCACAAAACAATGCAAGAAGTGACAAACCTGCGCGACAGGTAACAGCTAGAACTGAATGCCTCTTTGGAACGATACCAAAACTTTCATTTTCATATGAATATTCTTCTTTGGATTCTCGTAATTCTGTTTCGACATGTTCGTACAATTTCCATTCCTGTTGATCGAAGAACGCTTCGCGATTAATACTCGACCGTAGTTGTGGATCTTGCACGAGTTGACAATCTTCAAAGCGATGATGTGTTGTGATCGATATCGTTAAATCTTGAACATCAGCCGGAAACTAAACCAACAAGATAAAGAAATCGTGAGTTGATTAAAGAAAATGACGACACTTACATGATTCAATTCGAGTTTTTCCCAGAACACTCCTTTAAATCGTCGATGCTCGCAGATTTCAAGATTCGCTGTCGGCGGTAATAACGATTCCGACTTTTCAGTCGTTTTTTTCATAATCGTAAACCACTTATCTTGTTCACCAATCTGTCCAATAGCATTTTCTATATATAATTGAGGAGTCCAGTGCTCCTTCGCGTCAAATTTATCTGGGCGTACGATACCATTTTCATATAGTAATTGCGATTGTTGATCGGTTGTCAAATCAAGTAAACTGACATTCATAGTATCCGTCCATCGTGCTTCGAAGTAAACATCAGCTTGATATTTTTCATTTAGAGTATCGATATCGCCTAGAAAAACAGTTTGATTTGATCGACAATAAATTCTTTTGTTCTCCTACCGATACGAACGAAAACCAAACGAATGCGTACTTCTCGTGCGTTCGATTTTTGATTCGAATCTTCGTTGGATGGATTCGATATGACGTGTGATGATGATTTCATACGAAAATTTGAACGTTTATAGTTCGATTTGCTCGTTTCAGGATTTTCATTTGGGTATAAAACATTTCTCGGCGGAAAAAATCGATGCATGATGAAATTCGTAATGGAGAATTTTTGCGTACGAAAGGCACCTGTTAACTTGTGATAGAAGAGATCAAAAATGAATTAATAATAGAAATATCATCTCAGTGTTTGTCCGAAAAGAGCAGCATAGATTTCATAGTCAACAACACAGCTGTATGTACGAATTCTCTTGTCTCTCAATTGATTATGTTAAGGCGAAATATAATCTTATTAATTCGTATATATTTATTATATATCGATATACTGAAAGGAAAATATACTTACTTAAACTGATTCATGTGACGTAGGTGAGTGAGAGTGTGTGAAAATGAGATTCTTCAAAATTAGAAAAGCAATGCACATCTTGTTCCGATAAACAAATATATTTATACTGATCAAACTCATCTTACCGATGTTTTTGTCCAGAAAGAAAGTTCGTTCTCTCTCTCTCATGCATATGTGTTAAATGTGACGAAGCTATTTTTAGATATGAATAACTTTGTAAGACTTCTTCCAACCACGATCGATTTCATTGTACATCGTTCTTTCAGGTATGCTATGAAATTCAATTCCATACGTTTTTCAATATCTTCTATATATTTTATATTTATTAGTATAACTGCACCGTTATATGATCTGCAAAAAGTCAGCCGTGTTCATGTTGTCGATAATAGTAAATTAGCATTGGATGGCAATGTATACAAACGTATGCCACGAATTATTCATTGTTACAAGAGAAATGATAATTTAACTCGAACACGATTAACCGCTGGTCTTGGTGATAAAGTTCTCTTGGCAATTAAAGGACAAATGAAGAAGGCAATTATTGTTGGATGTAAACAACGGGTACGAAAACCGAATGTACCACAATTTGACTCGAATAATGTTGTGTTAATTGATGATGATGGAAATCCTGTTGGTACTCGTATTTTAGCCCCGATCCCAGCTTTTTTTCGTACGCGTGGTGACTTAGCTAAAATAGCAGCGATTGCTACAGCATTTGTTTGATAGGTTTATAGAATAAAGAAAACTCGTTTTCAAATTAAAGCTAACATAAGTGAAAGAACAGTGAATAATCTTTGTTGATAAAAAATTTACGCAAACACATGTATGTGGCGAAATTTAAAACAGAACATGATATTTGTTTGGAAAGAAAGTATCAAATATTTTCACCAGTGTGCAAATACATCAGAATCTCTAGTGTAAGTCTACGGTATAAATCATGAATCAGAATGAAATTCGAGCGCATCTACCGCTCATAATCGACGCTGACAAATTGTTGTTTTTGTGATTAATTGTCTCGTTTAATACAACGTCATATTCTGAATACGATCAGTTTTTGAGTGATAATGTATGAATCAATAAGGTTAAAAACAAACTACCTGTTTAAGAAATAAAACCTTTACTCCGATTATTATACCTTCCACTATTACATAAGTCAATGAAATAAAGTTCATCTGATTCGAAGTTCATGTAATTGAAATCCAACAAGTCTTCAACAAACTTGTTTGTTAAGTTATACACGTTGGATCTCTATAGAGTGACTTGAATTTCGATAGGTGTCAGGATTCATCAATATGTTACGTGAATACTATTCCATCGGATTGGTAGAATCAACCACATAAAGAATACCTACCACTTCCAGTCGGTTCGATACGAAATTGTACTTTCTTTAGTAAAATATTCGTTTGATTGTTAACGTCCGACATGTACATTAAGCAAGTAGGTGTTCTTGTTCAAGTTTATGAATGCAGAACTTGTTCAACCATCGTTGTGAATAGGTTATTATCCAGGGCTTTCGTTCATATCGTGATGAAACAATCATCGAACCATTCAGTCCTCGTTATAACATTATTGGTAACAATTGAAAGTCTTTATGAAAGCGATATAGTGATTGACTGAACGTTCTTTTAGTTGGACGAAATGGTTGTGGCAAATCAAATTTCTTCTTTGGTATGTGAAAACATTTGTGCTCGAGTTAATCTTTTCATTCGTTCTATTTGTTATTTCAGCTATTCAATTTGTCTTAAGTGATGAATTCAGTAATTTATCAGCGGAAGGTCGATATAATCTAATGCATGAAGGTATCAATAGTCGAGCATTGAATGCATATGTTGAGATCGTCTTCGATAATTCCGACAGCCGTATTATGGTAAGTTTCTTTCTCGTATAATTTGATTTCTACATTGTTCTTAAAATCGAACAGATTGAGAAACCTGAAGTAGCTGTGCGACGACAAATCAGCGGCAAGAAAGATAACTATTTTATTGATCGTAAAGTTGTGAAGTAAGATTAATCATTACAATGATGACAGTTTATTCATCTGAACAATTTTTGTTTTCAGTAAAACAGATATTGTCAACATGTTGGAAGGTGCTGGATTTTCACGTTCAAATCCTTATTATATTGTTAAACAAGGAAAAGTATGTTAAAACAAAACGAGTCATCTGTTGTTTTGCAAAAAACAGTCATTTATCCTACAGATTACTCAGATGGCTATTGCACCAGATGCCAATCGACTTCAATTATTACGTGAAGTAGCTGGTACTAAAGTCTATGACGAGAAAAAACAAGAAAGTGAAGCGATCTTAGCTGAAACAGGTATTTTCGAATATAATTTTAATTAATAAATTTGACAGGAAGTCTATTTGGCAGAGGAACGCCGGAAGAAAATAGCTGATCTACTGAAAGCTATTGAAGATCGTTTATCAAGTCTTGAAACGGAGAAAGAAGAATTAAAACAATACCAAAAATGGGATCGATCAAAACGTGGCTTAGAGTGTGCTATTTGTATGGCCGAATGCGAAGACGCCAAAAAACGAATTGATGAAGTACGCTGTTCTCAACAAAGTTAGGTCATCTGTGTTCTTCTATAGATTGTTGCCAAAATGAATGGAACTACACAAAAAATCGAACAATTGGAAAACGATCGACTATCTATAACAGAATTGATTCAAGTAATTTTCATTTTATTTGCATCTTTATCTTAATTGGGTGTTCTAGCAAACAACGGATGCTATCAATGAATTGAAACAACGTTTGCAAACTCAACAGATCGAACGTGAAACGTTGATTGTTGATAATAAAGATAATTTTCAACGTAAAGCACAAATTGAACTTGAATTACAAGATCTGCAAGGTGAAACTGAACAACGAGATGCCAAGCGCAACGACTTAAAAAAAGAACTTGCGAAATATGATAAATTACTGCAAGAAAGTGAACAACAATTGACGAAGATCATTCCCGAATACGACCTTTTAAGACGTGAAGAAGAAGAGAAGATAGCTCAGTATGGTTTTCTTTTAAAATTTCACATGGAATGGTTATGATCAACCTTTTAGACGAGATCTTGCTGAAGAAAAACGTAAAGAATTGTTTGCTAAACGTGGCCGTGGAAACCAATTTGGTTCGACAGACGAACGTGATAAGTGGATTCGACATGAATTGAAATCTTTGACTAAAGCTATCCACGATAAACGTGAACAAGTAACATCAATGCAAAAGACCTGTTATATCGATTTTACTCACGTAAATTTTTAGATGGAACGTTTAAAAACAGAATTGGACGATGAAACTACTAAAGCACAAGAAATCGAAGAGCAACTCCGACAAATCGGAGATAATGGAAGCGAACAACGTGCTCATATGGACAGCGTCAATACACATGTACGAGATTTACGGCAGAAAAAGAGCGATATTGCAGCTCAAAAAACGTAAATTAATCATAGAAAAAGAGAGGATAGACATTAATATATTTATTTATAATTTCATAGAGATTTGGCACGGAAAGAAACTCAGTTACATATGCAGCTTAGTCAAACTCGAGATGAATTACGAAAATGTCAGGATTCACTTCGAACAGTGATGAGTAAAGTAAGGTTTTTTTTGTTAGATTTAGTCGATTTCTATATTTGAATGTGACTTTATTTAGGGTGCAGCATCCGGTGCTGATGGTTTGCAACGACTTCTTCGTCAATTCGCTGACGAAAATCGTAATCCAGATATTATCAACGCTTACCATGGCACTCTAATCGAAAACATCGACTGTAATGCCGCTTTTCATACAGCTGTGGAAGTCATTGCTGGAAATCGGTCTGTGTTATTACATTCTATCGGATAATTAACATGCGGTTTTCTTTCGTTAGGCTCAATTATCATATTGTTGATTCGGATGTCGTTGCTACACGTTTAGTCAAAGAATTCAATACTGCTCGTCTACGTGGCGAAATTCATTTCTTGCCATTGAATGTTTTGGAAGTGCAAAATAACAATGTATCGAATATATCCGGCGCTTCGCCGTTGATCGATCAACTTCAATGGTTGCCGAAAGCCGAACGAGCGGTTCGACATGTATTCAATCGAATTATGCTTTGCGAAGATTTCAATTCAGCAACACGTACAGCTCGACAGTACGATGTTGATTGTGTTACATTGGACGGCGATCAAGTCCAACGTAAAGGTGCGTTGACAGGTGGTTATATCGATAAAAAAGTATCACGGATGGAATTACAACGTACAATTCAAAAGTTACGTACAACGTTAGCAAATCAAGAAAAAGAATACGAGAAACTTCGAAATGAAATCTTGAATATTGATAATGAGCATAATAATATCATGACTGAATTACAGCGTGAAGATATGAAGTCAAAGAAGAATTGGTAAAAGGATTGTTTATCGACTAATAGATTCAACTGTTGTGTTTATAGGGATAATTATGAACAAATGAAATCAGATGCTAAACACATTCAATCCGAATTAGATCGAATTATTACACAACGACCAGCGAAAGTAAATTCCTAGTGCTTTTCTCCATATCGATCGATCTTTCTGGTGTTAGGAACGACAATTCAACGCACTCAAAGCAACCATCGAACAATTTTGTGCTAAAGAAGAATCGTTACGATCCGAACTTGGTAGTGCTCTTGTTTCTCAACTATCAACTGACGAACAGCGAACAGTGGATCAATTAAATGACACAATCGAACAGATTACACAAGATCTAAAAGAAATCATCAGAAAACGTGTCGAAGTAAATTCACTCTGTTCGAAATGATAGTTCCTCCATTGTTCTTTGTTTAGCTTGAAGGTACTAAAACACGACTTGAACATCAAATTTCGAATAATTATCGAAAAAATCGTGATCGGATCAGTACTGTAGGATTTTTACGACAAAAATCGACTATCAAATGCACTCTGCAATTTTCCTAGGATTTGGAACGAATGCATGTGGAAAATGTTCGTAGTACAATCGAAGAGCTCGAACGTGAATATAAAATTCTATCTGATAAACTCAATGATCATGAAAAACAAACAGATGGTAACGAAATCGTATCTATTATCTTCTCCTTTTTACTTTCTATTCATTTAGCTATCGATCGAATCATTAACAATTTGGATCGAGAACTGAAAAGTAAACAAAAAGAATTGGAACAATTAAAGGTTTACTATTCCTATTGTTCATATCATTGTTTCAACGATAATTTTCATTTCCCAGAATTCAGATAAAGACATTGACGAACATATCAACGAAGAGAAACGAAACACAGATAAATATGAAGTTAAATTACGTAATGCACAAAATAAGGTAGAACACCTCGTTTAAAATCATACGTTTATGACATGAACGTCTCTTTCAAAGCTTGATGAAAGTACAAAACGTCAAAATAATATTGGCGTCCCACCTGATGGTCTTGAAAAGTACAAAGATATATCAATAAAACAAGTAACTATTTTCATGCGACATGATTGGCTATTGTCTTGTATTATTTTGATCAGCTTCAACGTGATCTTGATCGTGCAATCGTTCAATTGAAAAAATATGCTCACGTAAATAAGAAAGCACTCGATCAATTTTTACAATTCAGTGACGAACGTGATAAATTGACAAATCGTAAAAGTGAAATTGACGAAGCTCATCGTGTAAGTGTCCTTTCCTCTCCCTAAAAAAGAAAAACAGACTATTTCTCTTTCATTTAGCACATCGTTGATTTAATCGAAAGTCTTGATAATAAACGCTTTGAAACTATTCAATTTACCTTTAAACAAGTTTCATTATATTTTACGGAAGTTTTCAAACGTCTCGTACCTGATGGCACTGCTCATTTAGTGATTAAAAAAGGAGAAAACGAGGTTCGTCCGTCTGTTAGAAATTGCAAATTTTTCATCAAATGTTTTATGACAATAGGACTATGATAGCGAGCAAGTATCGTCTCAAAGTTCCGGTCAACAGATGTCTGTTGATGAATTCACCGGTGTCGGTATAAAAGTTTCATTTACTGGTCAAACCAATGAAATGCGTGATATGCAACAATTATCTGGTGGTCAAAAATCCCTCGTTGCATTAGCTTTAATCTTCTCTATTCAAAAATGTGATCCAGCACCATTTTATCTTTTCGATGAAATCGATCAAGCTCTTGATCCACAATATCGAAATGCAGTTGCAGGTAATCGAGACATTTCATTTGTAGATTAGAATAACATTTGAAATTTAGATATGATCAATGAATTAAGTCAAAAAGCTCAATTCATTATAACCACATTTGGTCCAGATTTACTTAAATACGGTGATAAATTTTATGGTATTACATATCGTAATAAAGTCAGTCAGATACGATCAGTAACACGAGAAGAAGCACTAGAGTTTGTTGAAGATAATGAAGCACAGAACCAAGCTCCATTAGCGGTGATTCCAAGTTAATACTTCTATTGCAAGATGCTTTTCTTCTCTTCTATTTTTTTTTCTATTTTCGTTTGTATATGATGTATATTTTGTTCATAAGATAAGAAAAGTGATTTAATAGTAACTTAAGTTAATTGATCGAAATAAAACCTTTTATCGCTTCAGATGTTAGGTGCACTTTTTCATTACGTTAAGAAATGTCCGCAAGTTATGTTGATGCCGGTGCGGACAAGTATCTATACAAATGGTGAGTAAATTTCGAAGCAAATTGCGAATAGTCGGTATGTTTGTGTTTAGTCACTGCACAAGATCTATGGAAAACTATCACTTCCGTAAGTAATGCTGGTGCCAAGCGAGGTCGTGCCAAACGTCGTGGTGCTACCAAATTTAAAGATCTAAATCTTGGTCAACGCATTGGTCAAGGTGACTGTTTCGTATGTCAATTGATTTTAGCTTATGATCGTTTTTCATCGTCTAGGAAAATCGAATATCCAATGGCCTGGTTTAAATGCTCCCGTGGTACAAGGACGCGAACCTGTTCCTATCGTAGAAAGACCACCGGATCCAATGCGTGAACAGCGTCTATTAGAAGTGCGTAATCGTCTTGATCGTTTTCGTCGTTTATCAATTCCGCCAAGTGAGCGAGGTTTTACCGGTGGTAGTCCAGCCGGAAAGAGTCTTGGTCAACCTGAATCAATCAATGAAAGTATATACGAATAACGCATTCAAAATAAAAATCATTCAATCATTGGTCTTCCTTATAGTAACTTTTGAAAATTTTGACTCTCGTCTCATCGAATTCAAAACTTTACAACGCACAATTGGAAAAATTGGCCGAAAAAAATACACATCCGCTTTTGTCGCCGTTGGTAATGGCCAAGGTCTTGTTGGTTAGTGTGAGAAAGCAATCTTATCTATTAATGAATCTCTATTGTTTTCCAAGGTTATGGTAAAGCATTGACTCAAGACGCTCAACAATGTTTACAGAAGGCGAAGACCGTTGCAGCTCGACAATTACTTTATGTTCCAATTTGTGATGGACATACTATTTTTCATGACTTTTATGAAGCATATTATTTTACAAAAGTCCGTTGTGAAAAACGACCACCAGGTTATGGTCTTCGATGCCATCGTATCATCGCTTTGCTCTGCAGATTAATTGGTATCAAAGATATGTATGCAAAAATCGATGGCGCTATTAACCCGCAAAATATTACCAAAGCTTTTCTTCGTGGTTTATTAAAACAAGTAAGAAAAAGAGAGGTTACGCATATCAGATGAAAGATTATGTCTCTTTTGTTATCGTAGAAAACCTATCAAGACTGGGCAAATGCTAAGCAACTGCATTTGGTTGAATATCGTCCGGAAAATGATTATTTTCCACGTTTATTAGCAAGTCCGAATAATGGTCAACCAGCTCGAACATCGCTAGAAATCGATCCTGACGAGGATTTAGATTTTGAACGTCTTTGTTTCGAAGGACGAACTCTAGATAAACGACAATCAGCTGAACAACAAGAACCATGGTACGCAACAAAAGATAAAACACGTCATGGATGGTACAAATATTTGAGACGGCGACACTGGGTTAGTTTATTTTTTTTTACGATAAGGTAGAGCAGAAAAAAAAAAATCTGTTCTTTGTTCTATTTTCAGGAAACAGTTCAAGAAAATGCAACTGTAGAACGATTGGCACGTATGGATGAAAATCGCTATGATTCGTACTATCGTTATCCAGATGAATATCATACTGATGTATTGAAACAAATGAAACAACGTGTACCACATGTTTGGTATCCACGAGTGTGATGTCTTGTTTAGTTTTTCGAATAAAAAAAGACAAAATCGAAAATGTAAACCTAATTAACATTAGTACCGCGTATAGAATATAATTGATGCATGCTTATCCGAAGAATAACAAACGGAAATATTGAACTTTCGCTACGAGTCTGTTTAATGTCTGTCGGAAAAAATGATATTGGATTCGTCGATAGACGCTGCGCATTTGAGTTGTTGAGAAGCGACTGAGAAAAAACCTATCTGACTAACGATTCGTCTACTTCGTACGAGGAACGTTCTCGAAGGTGACTTAGGTCATCACGGACAAGTACTCAGAAAGGAAGTTAAAACTTTTTCAACGAGCCCTTGTGCACACTTTACGATATAATTTCGACGAAAGCGATAAAAATGCAGTGTTTTTTCTTTTTAACTGCTTCAAGGAGAATTCTTCCAACTTCTATTTTATACTCAATTTATTGTGTATTCGAAAAGATAACATTCCTTGGAAATTTCTTTGCGCGTTTATTATTTCTTTTTGTTTTTTTTTTGTTGATTTACATTCTAACTTGCATCAGTCTTACGACAGTGGGTACGTCATTATGTTTATAACAAAGGAGAATCGCCCTTTCAACAAATATCTCGACCCTGTCCGTGCCTGTCTGTAGGGTAGCTCATCATACGTTCTTTTTCTTCCCACTTTATATTTGCTCTCACATGACGACAACGTCGACGAGGGCATATATGACTCTTTTCTCCTCGATACGTTTAACGTTGTATGCTAAGCAGAAAAGAATTATATGATTGGTTGATAAGAAAGAAAAACTTCGCTTCAGCTGCACTTTTGACGAAGAACGAAAAGCGAAAAGGAAAGAAAAATCTCGTTTCACCCCTATAAAAACAGGCTACACGCCAGTCATTTCTTCAGTAACACTCTCTCTTCTTCCAAGACACATATACAGTCAACAACACAAGTAAATTTTCTTTCACTCATGTATGAACAATCCATAATATATTGAACTACGTCTCTCTTTAGAAAGAAACAACATGCAAATCTTCGTAAAAACGCTCACAGGCAAAACAATTACTCTCGAAGTACGTTTCGATTAAATCAATATTGATGTTTTTTTATACAGCCTTGAGTTGCTCATTTTCTAGGTCGAACCTTCGGATACAATTGAAAATGTAAAAGCAAAAATCCAAGATAAAGAAGGTATTCCACCCGATCAACAACGTTTGATCTTTGCTGGTAAACAATTGGAAGATGGTCGTACATTGTCCGACTATAACATCCAAAAGGAATCAACCCTCCACTTGGTCCTTCGTCTCCGTGGTGGTATGCAAATCTTCGTTAAAACTCTAACTGGTAAAACCATCACCCTCGAAGTCGAACCTTCGGATACAATCGAAAACGTTAAGGCCAAAATTCAAGACAAGGAAGGAATTCCCCCAGATCAACAACGTTTGATCTTCGCTGGCAAACAATTGGAAGATGGCCGCACACTCTCGGATTACAACATTCAAAAGGAATCAACACTTCATTTGGTTCTTCGTCTCCGTGGTGGTATGCAAATCTTCGTCAAGACCCTCACCGGAAAAACAATTACTCTCGAAGTCGAACCTTCGGATACAATCGAAAACGTTAAGGCCAAAATTCAAGACAAGGAAGGTATTCCCCCAGATCAACAACGTTTGATCTTTGCTGGTAAACAATTGGAAGATGGTCGTACATTGTCCGACTACAACATTCAAAAGGAATCAACCCTTCACTTGGTCCTTCGTCTCCGTGGTGGTATGCAAATCTTCGTCAAGACCCTCACCGGAAAAACAATCACTCTCGAAGTCGAACCATCAGACACAATTGAAAACGTCAAAGCTAAGATTCAAGACAAGGAAGGTATTCCTCCAGATCAACAACGTTTGATCTTCGCCGGCAAACAATTGGAAGATGGTCGTACATTGTCCGACTACAACATTCAAAAGGAATCAACCCTTCACTTAGTTCTTCGTCTCCGTGGTGGTATGCAAATCTTCGTCAAGACCCTCACCGGAAAAACAATTACTCTCGAAGTCGAACCTTCGGATACAATCGAAAATGTTAAAGCTAAGATTCAAGACAAGGAAGGAATTCCCCCAGATCAACAACGTTTGATCTTCGCTGGTAAACAATTGGAAGATGGCCGCACACTCTCGGATTACAACATCCAAAAAGAGTCAACACTCCATTTAGTTCTTCGTCTTCGTGGTGGCCAATAAACAACAGCATTATTACTCGATTATCAAGGCTCAGAAACAACGTCGATTATTTACCATTTTCCTTTTTTCATTTTATTATAATCAGTTATGCTTATGTATTGTGAAATCAGTTTTTTTCTAACTATTCGAAAAAGGCAATAAATAACATCATATGTGAGTGAAAATAACTCATTTCTTGATTTATTAGCATTGGATGTGAAGAATAACAACAGTGTATTCAAGACTCTAAGATGTAAATTATCGCTGGCATTAGGATGACGAACGAAAAAGTTCCTTATATGAGACTTGATTTCTTGTTGGATACGAAGCAATAGGTGAGTTGAGACAGAGTAATTAGATGTCAGAATCTAATGAACATAATATAAAAGTATAGACGAAATCGGGTTTAGGATTAAGGTGATATTTCTTTTCATTTTTATAAGTCTTAATCTATACCGAAGGAGAAATAAACAACGTAAATGAAGTTCAGTTTCTTAAAATACCTAAAAGTATTCGCACGATCTGTAGGTGTGAGAGATGGTATTAATCTTTTGTTTGAGAAAAAATTGTGCAGCATAATCTGCACACACATCGATGAAATAAACAGGAAGACGAGGAAGAAGGATGGTCGGTGTCGAATAATTAACTGTGTCCAGCTGTTCCACAGCACTACTATTTGTTTGAAATAAACAGTCAAGAAGGAAATGAATAGATGTAATGTTTGTGTATTTTTCTTTGTAGTTAAAAAGTGACAAAGAAAAGAGTTGATGATTTCAATGTTATTCATGTGCTGTGCTAATAAGACTAAACGATTATTTTCTTACATATGTATCTATGTCCTTTGATGTTGTTTGTAAGAACAATGAAGAAATCGCCTTGGTATTACAATAGAGCGATGGTATTGAATTGATCCTTCTGTCCTTCCATATTGTGTATCAGGTGTTATTCATAACAAATCAGCTGCATGAAGAGAAACGCGAAACAGTGGAAAAGACATAAATAATAGAATAACTTGCTAGTAGTGATTCATAAGTACAACATCATCTTAACAGCGCCGTCTATCTCTTGTAGAGAACGCAGTCTGTGTCGAAATATATGATTCATGTATATGCACAAGTATGAGAAAGAAAAGGTTTTATCCATAGACGGATAAATAATCTGTACTTATTGAAAAAAGAAAATTCCCTTTTGATAAACGCCATAAAACGTCATTCCATGCGATGAAGAGAAAATATCGTCCAAGTCTCCTTAAAGTAGAAGAAAACAAACCATTGAAAGCTATATTGCGATTGAGTTAAACAAGATTCATCCAAAACAGGATGAACTGGAATTGTCCTGAATGTACTTATCTAAATCCTACGGATCAGAAAATATGTGCTATGTGCGAACAAGGATACCGGCTTTTCTCGGACGCTAGCGATGCAAATGAAGACGATAGTGCTATTGCAACGAATGAAGACGAAGACAGTGAATCTGTGAAAACTCGAACGGACTCATTGGTGCCGGACGACGTAAGTGAAGGAGATGAAGACGACAGTCTTCTGGGTGAGTCGAGTTCAATGAATAATCATTTCTCTACGTAGAGATTTACTTTTGTAGGATCGTCATCAACCAAAAAAGATATGTATATTCGCAAAGATGGCCATATACTATACGGCCAAGCGGCTGTTGATGAACGAAAAAGATCAATAGCTCACCGAAAGGCTCTATATATCCAAAAATTATGGCAATTATCATCAAAACAACCGTCGAATTCTTCGTTTACCAGGAATTGCTTCCAGAAATCATCTGAAAACACGTCAACTGCACTTTTCGCCTCGCCATCGGTTGACCATTTCAATACTTTAAATGCAAATCTTAAGGGTGTTCACGCTAGTGCTACTGCAACAACTGAAGTGGTCTCTGGCTCTGCAGTGAATTGCAATGCTACAGGAGCTAATGTATCTGCATCAGCGGCAGCAACTGCTGTTCGTGCAAATGCTTTCAATGCAAACATTACCGGTGCGAATGCATCTGCATCAGCAACGGCAGACGCCTTGAAAGTTTCCGTGGGAAATGTCAATGTGACTGGTGTAGAATGCGCCGCATCTAGTTCTGCTTCACTAGCGAAAGTGAATATAGGAAATGTCAATGTGGCCGGTACAAGTGTTGGAGCAAGTTCAAGTATCAATGCAACCGGCGTTTCAGCTTTTAATGTATCTATTAGCGGTCCCAGTGCTGCTGCTTCAGCGAATGTGGATGGCGCATTTTCTTTTGGAAACATCGTTCTAGGCGCTCGCCCTTCCCTCGATGTCGGTTGGGGTTTTAACATTGGCATCCCGTTCCTGAACGGTTCTGGTGGTTCAACTGGTGGTGGTGGTGGCAGTGGTGATAGTCGAAATGATGAGAATAATTCTAGTGAGCAACCTCGTGGTTTAGAAGGATATCAACAATATTTATCGCAGAAATTTCCAAATCAACGGCACTATTGGAGGGCAGCTGACTTCAAAATAGAACCAAATACATCCAAAGAGCCAATCGATCCAACTCTGACTGATGAGCGTGTGGAAAGAACCGATCGAGATGACGATCAAGTTAACAGTGTTGTTGATCAACATAATAAACTTATCGATGAAGGATGGCAGTTCGCCGGCTATAAAGGAGGACCAAAAAGAGATGCTGATGGTAACAAAGCATCTAGCTCAGGTCCCGAAGCACCAAGTGCCGTGTCATCATCTCAAAATTCGGAATGGGCCGGTATGTACACTTCGCCGTCACCAGCAGTTGCCGGAGGATATGCTGTGAACGATGACGGTCGCCCGGGACAAATTGATCGTGTCTATTTACGGAAAGATGCGGCCTCTTCCTATTATACCAAGGTGGGGTTGAATACGCATATCGGTCTTCAGGCTCTGCGTGACGTCAAAGAGCATTCACAGGAACGCTATATTTTCAGCGGTCCTCAACACGATACGGATCCTGACCTACGCGCTCCTGAAACTGTTATTTCTACAAGCGTTCGTGATGAAGCTTTGAATTGTGGAAAAATCCGTTTTGAGCCGTCGGCTCACCAAGTAGATCCACGTTCGTATCGAGTGAATCCAATCTATAACAAAGAACTTGCCTCATCCCAAATGATTCCCGACTACACAGTTCGTATGACGAAAGGTCCTGACGATTGTGCACGCGACGGGGGTCGCGAGCGATTAGCCCACGTATTTGATGGACGACCACCGTATGTTTATGAAACGAAACCGTCGAAGAAGTCTGAGCCAAGTGAAGATGATAAATTGCTTATAGAAGAATGTCGAAAGTTAGGCATTGAAATTCCATATGGCAATTTAGAAGATTGGAAAAAAAAGTTGCGCAATGATCATGAATATGAACGTGAAGAAGATGACCGAATGCATCAAATTCGAACTTCCTCCACGACTGCCGCTACTTTGTCTGAAAAATCGAAGACTGAAAAAAAGGAAAAAGAATCCAACAACGACGAACCGCCACCACCTTGTAAAGATCATCCACCTCACATTCGATGTATGAACTGCTTGAAACGATCGTCGGGAGCTGGTGTTCGCAACATCCGTGGTCAACTCCATGGTTTCAAATTCGACTAATTTCAGAGAATGTCACTAAAACTTTTCTTTATCTTTAGTTAACCTTTTGAGAAGTATTAGAAGTTATAAAGATTATCAACGACCAAAATTGTCATATTTTATTTTGTGTTTCTCTGCTTTTATAAAATAGACAGATGTGTATCCTCCTTCTCGAAGGTGAAGGTAATTTAAAGAAGCACATTGTGATTGCGATTACGATCTTGCTTGAAGTTCTTCACAAAAATTTTATGTTGTATTTAGTTATTAGGAAAAATCTTAAAGTAAAAGCAAACATCAAACAGAATTCTGCTACCGCATTCAGTTCCAATTGATCTGAGAGTCGTTCGTTGAATTCTTTGGCACCAATGCTCGGGTGTTATTTCTCGTTGTTATTATGAATCTTATGAACACTGTCACAGTACCTGTATTCGTATCAGAGACAACACGAGCAAATAATTCATTCATCGAATGAATTTGACTTATTAGTGATTCGATTCGATCAGTATGCTTAGAGACCAGAAAAAGCGACACCTCACTCTGTAGAAGTGTGTTACACATATACACTTCGTTTACATGATAGCGGCACAACGTCATTTTCCTATTGGTTCACTAGTTCTTAGACGAGGCCACGGTTGGTTTTCATTGGATTTGTAATTCGTACGTATTATTTCTTTAGTGAAGACAAGAGTCAAATCATTAATTATCCAGAATACCGTCTAATGGAAATCATCTAACGAATTTGTTATCGAATCGAATATAAACATGGCTACTAACAAACGTACATTCGCCTACATGATGAATCCAGTATGTTATAATCTCAAAGCGTCCTTTTTTTCCTCCGAAACTTCTATTTTATCTTGTTTGTTTTACTTAGACTGTAGGCAAATATCATTACGGTCCTGGTCATCCAATGAAACCCTACCGTGTCGAATTGACAAACTGCTTAGTATTGGAATATAAAATGCATAGAAAAATGAACGTATGTAAATGATTTAGCAGTGAATGTTCTCATGTGTTGGTTTAGATATATTGTCCATCGGAAGCCAGCATTCACGACATGACACGTTTTCACTCGGAAGACTATGTCGAATTTCTTTCACGCGTCACACCCAATAGTCAAGAATTCCAACGCTTTTATTCAATTTATAACTTAGGAGATGATTGTCCAGTATTCACAGGGCTATTCGATTTTTGTAAACTTTATACGGGAGCTTCATTACTCTCTGCAACACAACTCAATCACAAGGTTCGAATAAAGGTTTATTTATTAGGTCAATAATTGCTGTTCTATTTGAGTAGCAAAGTGATGTGGCTATCAATTGGTCAGGTGGACTTCATCATGCGAAAAAATTCGAAGTGAGTAATTCAAATAGAGATGAATAATGCTGAAACACGATGTAATTTTTGTTAGGCATCTGGATTTTGTTATGTAAACGATATTGTCATTGCTATCCTGGAATTGTTGAAGTAAAGTGAAAGCTAGCGTTGTCTGATGCATAACGGACGAATTCATATTTAGATATCATGAACGTGTACTCTATATCGATATCGACGTTCATCATGGAGATGGAGTGCAAGAAGCATTTTATTTCACTGATCGTGTTATGACTGTATCTTTCCATAAATATGGAAATAACTTCTTTCCTGGAACTGGTATATTCTGATTGAATATATATGTGGAGAATTCAGCAAATATTTATTTCTTCCATTTTTAGGCAGTATGTATGAGATTGGTGCGGAAACAGGAAGATACTATTCGATCAATGTTCCTCTTCGAGAGGGCATCACTGATGATGGTAAGTTAACATAGATGTTCATGATTTCCATTGTAATTTGAATATGTGTATATTTAGATTATTATGAACTTGTTTTCAAACCAGTTATGTCAACTGTAATGCAATATTATCGTCCAAAATGTATCGTTCTTCAATGTGGAGCTGATTCGCTTGGTGGTGATCGACTTGGATGTTTCAATTTATCTATCAAAGGACATGGCAAATGTGTTTCATTCGTCATGGAACAGAATTTACCTGTGTAAATAAAGTCTTCTACATGTGCATTTCAACCGAACATTTGTACTCCTTTTTGATTTTTAGACTTGTCGTCGGTGGAGGTGGTTATACAGTGAAGAATGTCGCACGCTGTTGGACATATGAAACATCATTGATCCTTAATGAACAACTTTCGAACGACATACCATATCATGGTCTGTCAATATGGAATTCTTGTTTATTTTTTTATTAAACGTCGAAGCTGTTTTGTTCTTTTAGATTACATCGAATTTTTTGCACCCGACTGCGTCTTACATCCAAATTTATTTAATCCAAAAATCGAAAATGGAAACTCTCGTCAGGTGGATATTTCTATCGATAATGCTATGAACCATTTGTCTTTTTTTTTCTAGTACCTTGAATTAATTGTTCAATTTGTCAATGAAAAATTACGTTTACTCGCTCATGCGCCTTCTGTTCAAATGCACGATGCACCACCTGATCTTCTACAAACAGATGATCACAGTGGTGCAAAACCAACTAGACGGTAAAGAATCCAAGATATTCGTTTAGCACTATTTCGTCACATGTTTGATTTCATTTAGTGCCGATGCAGCCAACGAATTTTATGATGATGACAATGATGTTGATCGAACTGATGAAAACTAAATAAAACATTGTTTATTCATTTTCTCTTGTTCTTGGGTGTACTGTGATGTTCGGCTCAGTGTTCAGATAGAAACAAAGAAAAAAAAATTGTATTGTTCGTTAAATTGTTTTGTCTTCTTACCTTTAATATTTGCTGTCATTACTAATCATGTCACTCTATGTTCTTCATTCTAGATGAAGTCAGATCAATTAGAACAATATCAAAGATTACCAACTAGCTGAGAATGAGTCTTCAAGTACTGTTATTGTATGTATGAATGGAAATTGATTTCTTTCGAAAAACATACTTGTTGATTGAATGTAAGCAATAGGATAGAAATACACTTGAGAGATTCGAATCCAATTCGTGCCTCTTAGGAGTGTAATAAAAAAAACAATTTTCATCAATCAGCCCTATTCAATTCTCATATGAAACTCGAAACAATATATAATTATCTTCAACAATTCATTCGATTTCCGTTATCATCTTTTATAGATAATTTACATGATAACTTTTCAACGCACGTCTCTTTTGTTCTGTTTTAGAATGATTATTTTTATGCGTTTGTTCATTTGTTATAAGTAAGTTTTATTTTCTTTTTTTTTGTCAATATTTATCTGCACTGTTGATTTGATATCAAAGTCGATCAAACTTTTGCTAATGCCTTTAATCTGTATCCGAGAAATTCTTCTATTTCAGCGCATAAATCATTGAAGAAAGTGGAGTACTTGCTTTAGACTTTAATCAAACGGAAAAAGTAATAAAAAGAGAACATCAATCATCGCTTTTCTCCTAATTAGTCAACATCAGATCTTTGTCGCTCTTCATATGGTGATAATGCAGAACAAATGTCATTTTTCCTACAACATTGATCTAAGAAAGAATAAGACATTTGACAACTAATATAGTATCCATCTGTCGTAAACAAAGGTCAAGAAATTTAGTTCAAATTTCATCCTATCCATTATAAAATAATACTCTTTCTGTTTTACTACTTTAATATCTGACATTGAATACATTAATCGATTGCTTATGCAGAAATGAAAAAAGAATTGCAGTACGGTTTCGTCTTCTCTGTCGTCTATTTACATCCATTCATGATAAAATATGTTCTTTTAATCGATCTATGATCATCATATCTTGCATTAAGTTCATCGAAGTATATTTGTTGTTCGATTCAACTTGTTTATTCTCTATTGTTAGTTGTCAAATCAAAATTCTTCTTTTTCTTTCTCTCTCGTAGATCAGCAGCGAACGCTTTGCAAATAGAGCAAGAAAGAAGGAAAGAAAGAGAAGGAGAAAAAGCAGTTTTTTACTCAGGGATATAAAGGCGGAAAAAGAATAGCATATAATATTATTCTTTTTTCTTTCTGGTTTTAGTATACCGTCCTTTTTGTTCGCTGAGGATTACTCACAATCAAATCAAAATGAATTAAACGGCGATAATTTCCTTTAAAGTGCACATGCGGATCATAGTCAATCAACTACTTTCATGTGTTCCAATAGACGTACTATTTTCTTATGTGTATGTTCGGTGGTTTTTTTTCAAGCACTTTACTATATTATAACACTACAAGTTAAGCAAAGCCAGGTAACAATCGACGAATCCTCGTCGTCACTCTTGTCGATGAATATACAAAATCAATCGTCAGATCTACGTCATGCAAATAATCAATTGTTGCAATCGAATCTATCGTCATTGGTTTCTGAGAAAGTAAGTAAATGGAGAGTTTATTGAACAAATGAACCGAGCTTCATTCTTTTAAGATTAACAACACTCGTGAAACTACTGTATCAGTCAATTTAACAACTAAAATTTCCTCACTTAATGTTACCTTGACTGTTACAACTACTATCATTACAACTACAACTACATCCGTATTGCTTTCAATTCCATTTCAGAATGCTTCATTCTATTCATCTTTCAATTCAACATTAGCGGAGTTGAGTGCTAGCAATTCATTACCACTATGTAATTTCTCAATATCAAATAATGACAGTTCGATATACAAAGTAATAGTAAATCAAACACTCTATCCGTATAATATTATTGAACAACAAGTTGGAAAACTTTTACATGCAGGCGGACACTTTGTTCCGACAACTTGCCGATCGGAACAACGTGTAGCTCTGATCGTTTGTTATCGGAAACGCGAGCAACATTTGAGAATGTTTCTGGATAATATTCATCCATTCTTACAAAAGCAAAACTTAGATTATACGATTTTTGTTGTCAATCAACATGGAAACGAAGATTTCAACCGTGCTGCTCTATTCAATGTTGGCTATTTAGAAGCCATGAAATTGTATCCATTTGATTGTTTTATTTTCCACGACGTTGATCTTCTACCAGAAGATCTAAGAAATGTTTATAAATGCGGTGATCAACCAAGACACATGTACGTATAATCAAAATATTTATCAAGACGATCTCTCTCGCAAAAAAAAATAGATACTTCTGATTCTATCTGTCATAATGTGGGAATAAAAATATGACATTTCTTGAATTGTATCGATAAGAAAAGCTATGTCTGATACCTTGCAAAGAAATCTTTGCTTTCAAAGTCTGTTCCCAAGTACGATTTTTTCTAACTGTTCTTTTCAATAAGACGTGACTCGTTCGTATACTTTATATGCTGTTCTAATGTATCGATGATTCGTCGTAAGTCGAAAATTATATTCTACATTATAAACAATGACTTGTTGATTGATGGAGATCGATATGGGATTGAAAGGCAATACGTTGATATTTCTTTACTTTTACTTTCTACTTATATTCGTTACGACATCTATTTCGATTACACAAAATATTTCGCAATTATTTCGAAATATTTTTTCATATCCTCAGTGTACATTTCACTCTGTAGTTGTAATGCTTTCATTTTAGGTCAGTTGCTGTTGACAAATTCAACTACAAACTTCTTTATTCCACATTATTCGGAGGGGTAACAGCCTTTCGTTTATCAGATTTTATTGCTGCCAATGGTTATCCCACTGTTTATTGGGGATGGGGCGGAGAAGATGATGATATGTACTTACGTGTTGTCAAAAAACTGAAAAAATCCATAACACGTTATCCAATAGAGATCGCGCGTTATAAAATGATCCGCACTCACGATCATACATCGGGAACAGCCAATCCTCATCGTCATACAATTCTCTATTCCAAGTATGACTATGGTCTTGACGGAATCAATACAACAAATTACACAATTCATCGTGTAACTTTCTATAAATTATTCACTCTAATCAATGTGACACTGCCACAAGAACCGTTCGAACAGATTCGAACACGTCTGCGTATAAAAAAGAAAAAATAACAGTCGTCGATGACGTTCTAGTTTTTTCATTCACGTCCGAAACAAATCTTTACCCATAAAAATGTCTGTGATGAATAGCAACAATCGGTTTTTTTCTCTCTTTGATAAGTTTTCGATATTGATTGAAAATGATGCGTTCGTATGTTATGTTTTATGTCTTTTAAGCTATAGATGAGCTTTATGTGCGTTTTGTTCAAGAATATTTATTTCAAATGAAATGTCCAAATAATTCTACACCTCTGTTTTTTCTCGATTTTTAGATTTAAACACTCATCATGGCGTATATGTTACCACATTTACATAATGGCTGGCAAGTTGATCAGGCCATTCTGTCGGAAGAAGATAAAGTCGTTGTCATTCGTTTTGGACACGATTGGGATCCGACATGTATGAAAATGGATGAAGTTTTATTCAAAGTCGCAGAGAAAATCAAGAACTTCGCCGTAACCTATCTAGTCGATGTTACCGAAACACCCGATTTTAACAAAATGTAAGCCAATCGCTGTGTATTTATTGATTTTTATCGATACTCAACTTCAGAACGTAGTGATAAGTTCAACAGATCGTTCTAGTTACACTTGTACTAGACGTCTCGATAGAAGACTAAACATTAGACTGTTCGGTAGTCATCCTGTGGGGACAGGAATAAATCGAGTTTTCTCTTGTCTTCTATATGTATTCTTCGTTTTTGTTTCAGGTATGAATTGTACGATCCATGCACTGTCATGTTCTTCTATCGTAATAAGCACATCATGATCGATCTGGGTACTGGTAATAACAATAAAATCAGCTGGGCTTTAGAGGATACTCAAGAATTCATTGATATTGTTGAAACTGTCTATCGTGGCGCTCGCAAAGGTCGTGGTTTAGTTATATCGCCAAAGGATTATTCCACGAAATATCGCTATTAACATTCACCTGTTCATTCTCTGTATCTTGATGTGAATTTTTTCGTTATCCAATAAAGATCATTGTCGTATGTCGATACTCATTCTTCTTGTACAATTCAAATAAATTGTGGATTTGTTAAAACCAAACATCGCCAACTACTCTTGTAGATATGACAACAAACTCAATCATGGCAACAAATGCTTATCGATTGTTCGTCAATCGGTTGTGTCGATCCTGTCCTATGAAAGAACAATGTTCTCTTTTTAAAAACTTCATTGAACAACAGGTGCAACATCATCAGAGTGATTCTTGTCTACATACGATTATCTTTTAGGAACGAAATTCACTTGAGTCAACTCCATTGAATCATTCCGACGTACAAACGATAGATAATCATCTTACTGTTTCGTCTTCGCAACATTGCTTTCTCTGTCTTGACGTATTACATCGTTACACCTCCGATGAGTTCATCCAACAGATTAAACAAACTGCCCAGTCAACAACTAGCGATTTCCAATCATTCTGTTGTAATCTGACATTACCATTGAATTTATTTATTCGTCATGTAAGTTTAAAGCTCTATCTTTGCTTTGATAAACTCAATATTTCCTAGGCATATCTATTGAAATTTTTGAATAAATATGTTGGCGAATGTAACGAAAAAGATTTACCGATCATCAAAGATCAATGGAGAAATGTCATGATTGATCGATTGGAAGAAGCATTAGAACGTCCCTATCAAATCGAAGTAGGGTTAACTGATTTAGACTTTCCATTCTTTTTACATCTAATTATGCTTTGTTAAGAGTCCGTTTGAAATTAATATAACATTCGATTTCAGCGGTGAAGCAGAAGAACTCAACTTTCTGTAAGTTTACTGTGATTCCAATGATGATGTTTATCGGTGATAAATGTTTGTTCTAGACGACGATTTCGTTATGCAGATAATCCAAAATTACAGGTAAGATGTCGTTTACGAAGATCGTAACACCACGAAGTATTCTTCTCGTCATTGCCGCAAAGAATACCATCATTCGTACAGAAGAGGTTTTTCTGATCACGAAGTTGATGCAACCGTGTTAAGACTGTCCATTGATTTGTATTAGTATTGTATCTAGACAATCAAATTGGTAGAGAAAGCTTCATTTCACAAAGAAAGAAAGAAAGCAGTGTAGCATGAATTGAAAGTTACCTATCATTTTAGAAATCGAATGCTAACGAAGCATTTACTCGCCAGGCGGTAACATCCGTTCTCAACAATATTACCTTCGACGATTTCGAACAGTGAGTCTATGAATTGAAACAGCAACTTTCCAATTCAATTTGGTTCGATGAATTTCAGATATTATAAACCTGTTATCAATGGGAAAACATCATGTACGATATCAGCTCAACACGATTCAGTTTATATTGCTGGTTAGTATTCAACTGTTGCTTTTGATGATGATTTCTAATCATGAACATGTTCGATGGTTGTTAAGGACGTTACAATAAATATTCCCGTACGCTATCTCAAACCCCGTGGATCATTGATGGAATTCGTAAGGCTGATACATCTGTAGAAGAATTAATTGCTCTTCCGATCAGTAAACTCATCAGTGCTAAACGTAAATATTTCTGATTTTGTTATGAAGACGGTGTTTGTATAAAGAAAGTTTGATTTCTATAGATTATGTTTTTCTTTCATCCGGTCGAGAGGATGTCGATGTACGAACGTTAGGTCGCGGTACGTAGATGAAATACAGCTTTATACGAAGAAACTAGAACTGGTCAATATGTATAGGTCGACCGTTTGTTATTGAATTTCGGCAACCATCGAGGATTCTCTATCAACCTGAAGAATTTCATGCTGTTCAAAATGTTTGTTAATAATAATCTCGTTATATCAGATCTAGTTTATCTACTTCGTTCTTTTACAGGAGATCAATACCTCGACAAAAGATGTTCGTGTGCGAGATTTGCAACAAGTATCAAAGTATGTAGATGATAGCAAGTGGTTGCAAAGTAAGCCTTTTCTTTTCAATTATCTAGAGAAGACAGTAATCAAATCAAAGAAGGAGAAGAAGAGAAAACCAAATGTTATGAAGCTCTATGCTACACTGATACGCAGATTGATCAGGAGGAACTCGATCGAAGATTAGCTTCCGTAGCGAATCCTTTGGTCATTGAACAAAAAACTCCCATACGAGTTTTACATCGGTAAGTATAATTCTTATTATTATTTCTTCGCAATAACTCGACACACTAATAGACGAACAGTAATGACACGGCAACGGTCGATTACTGAATTACGTGCAACTAGTATCGATGCCTATCATTTTCGCTTACGATTAACTACTCAAGCCGGTGCATATGTTAAAGAATTCGTTCATGGAGATTTCGGTCGGACGAAACCAAACTTAACTGTAATACTCGATCGTTTTGTGGACATTCTTGAACTAGATGTCTTAGTAGGAAATCTATTTCACTGATACAGCATTGTCGTTTGATTCTATTCTAGGCAGTAAATATCGATTTTCCGCCGACGTTAGAGATCGAAAATGAACAAGATAACGCTTGTGATACAAATGGCAAATAATAGAATCTTTTTAATCTATCAAACAGATTATATGTTTTCAATGATATTTCACGAATAAACTCACAAAATGATCAACTGTATAGAACAACTTGTTTTCTTTCCCGAAACAAGATTTCGATACATTTCATTATTTTGCACATTCTATCTAGTTCGTACAGTACACTCGATAATACTTCACGTCAATGATTTCTGTTTTTCTTTCTGCTTCTTCTTTCCATTCATGTCCTCTATAGCAAGATCATATGATTGGTTGTTTGCTATCTCAATTCAAATGGTAAAGTAACTAACTAACGATTAATGGTGTAGTACTACACATACGCATCTTTTCTACGAATAGACTAAATCGTCTTGTTCATTGAGTAACGATACTGATATATGTTTTAGATTAACTCTTATCGAGAAAACAATGACATCTACGAATACTGCAAATCGTAAATCGAAACGTGATGATCCGAAACGTTCATCTGCATCCGTTATTGTTGTTGCTGCTAGTGAACAACCAATGACGAAGGTTTCATACTCAATTGATATGCCTTTGCAGATTGTACACACTGTTATCTGTTTAATCTAGACGAAAAATGCTGTGAAACCTAATGAAGCTGTTGTGTTATCCCAAACGTCGAATACGATAAGTAATAAGAAACGACGAGCAACCGAAATTATTCAAAATGAAGTGTGTTATCTTCAAATCCAGGCAGTTCGTTTGACTTTGTTACCTTTCTAGGTACCTTTGTCGGAACGTTTGAGTGCATTCGAGAGTCAAACGTCAACTGGTCAAGTCAATTCAGAACAAAAGCAACAGAGCTTAGCTGCTGATAGTCTCGTCACATTGCTTACTCAAGGATTACAAAGCTCTGATACCACTCTACTTGATGTGAGTATACCATTCCCAAACACAACTGATTCTCATCTATTTTTCCCAAATGATTATTATATGAAACAATATAAACAAAGAGAGAGAGAGGAAGAGAGAGAGACAGGAGACAATGAGCATATTGAAAAAATCTGTTCAGTAGACTTTAAAGTGATGCTTTTGATGTTAGATCGTCTTGGAGAGGTGTTGGCGATTTAGGTAAACTTTTCCGTTTGCTACTTGAACGTTGAGAAGTCGAAGTGGTAGCTGTTTTTGTTGTTGTTGCTGCTGCCAGTGCTGTTGAGGAATCGAATTCTTTAGCACCTTGACTTTTAAGAAAGGTAAAAACATCGCGCGAGCCTGTTTCACGCGCCCATTTCAATGGAGAATGACCTTGATTGTCGGTGGTATTGACGCGTGCACCACGATTAACCAATAGACGAACTAATTCTACGTCGTTATGAGCAGCTGCAACATGAAGCGGAGTCCAACCGGATGCGTCTTTTGTATTCAACTCCGCTTTGTGTCTTAGCAACAGTCGTACAATATCTGGATGGCCTAGAATCGTTTTTTAATCCCATAAACATACATGAAAATATTTGCTAAGCAACACTTACCGAGATCGACCGCCCGATGAAGGGCAGTTACCCCATCTTTATTAACAATATTCACATCAATATCATGTTTTAATAGTAATTCAATACAAGAAACAGCGTGAACTTTCACTGCTTCGTGTAAACATGTTTCACCTGTATTATCTGAATTATTGATAAAATTTCTCCGCACTTCAGTTTCATAATTTGCTAAAGCACTCTCTATTAAATATTTTGTTACATTGTATGCTTGACCAGCAATAGCGTAGAATAGCACATTTCGTCCTTCGTTATCTCGACTAAATAGTTGTGCACCTGACTCGAGTAGTAAACGGCATATCGCCATGTTACCGTAAAATGCTGCATACATTAACAATGTTGCAGCTTTGTCAGCATCAGACAAATTCGACAGACATGTTGTCTGTTCAGGCGATGAACATGAACGTAGTTGTCGACTTAACTCTTCGGTATTATCCGTACAGATCAGTGTAAATAATTTGTCAAATTTTGATGATTGTGATTGACCCATTCGACAGGAAAAGTATTGACTACAATCTAGAATAGAAAACATATAAGCAATTTCCATTTATTGTTGTATAATTTGTCGATTTTTGTTTTAATCCACATGCTCGTTGTGTAGCTATACGCATGATTGATCGTCCAGCTTTCTTTTTCTTTCTTTTGTCGAAGCGAAAGTGCATTAGAAGAAATAAAACGAAAGGTAAAAAGAAAAAGGGGGTATCCCAGATCGATCGACACTATTAATCAATATCGATGACTATATAATGGCGTCTTTTTTGTCTTTAGCAAGTTTTATGTTGTCGTAATGACAAAATTATTGAAAAAACAGTGCGTGCACTTGCCATTCCAGTTCTTTTGCCACTAATTGATTGTTTAAACAAATATCTTTATCAAAGTGCAGACAAGTAACATACAATCAATTTGGAAAGATATCTATCACAAAAAAAAACCGTTCCGCTTCGTCTTTTGCAGAGGCCTCATCGCATCCAAATGGTTACGAGCAGTATTAAGTACTCATACATCATATCTGATGACAGTATGTAAACAGTCGAGATTTTTATCATAAAATTTTACGACGAAATTCTTCTAGTGTTCGGACATCACCGAACGTCTTGGTCCAATGTATGAATTGATCGAAGCGCGTACAAGACTCTATCCAAAGTTAGCAAGACTTCATGGCAAGCTATCATTGATTGCTTCACAAGTAAGCGAACAACTGCTGATTTTCCTTTGAAAGTTAAACGCAAAAAAAGTAAATTGCACACAAAGAAAAAACGAAATTTACTTGACATCTTTTATTGACAGTTTAATAATTGATATGATGATATAAACACCGAGAAGTAATGCCCTCAAATGAAACTTTGAATAAGTAATGACTGATGAGGACATTTGTTTGTATATATACATATACATACTCAATCGTTGTCAACAGAAAAGTAGAAAATAACTGAAGCATATCAAAAAGAAAAAAGAGAAAAGGCGTTCCCCAGACAATATTGACCCATTGACTGTTTGATCTGAGATGCAACAGAAGAACAGCATTGGTTTAAGATGATTTCCATCTTTGCGTAGATTGATTCGTACGAACGACGTTTTCTATTTGAAGACTGATTTATCGTGAGAAATTTGTCAATTATAAAGATACTCATCATGATCAGCGAATTTCACGGAGTAATTGTTCCTCACATAACAAATTGACTTACCTATTCGAAACTAATACGATATATCATGTTTATATTTATTCGGTCATAACATTGTGTCTCATCTTTGACGTGCATATTGCACCTTTATCTATGTATTTAAAGTTGTGCAGTCGCTTTCTAGGACATATCAATATGGAAAGCAACTTTTTTATTCTATTTTATATACGTCGTTTAGATCAATAGTCGCAACAATGAATTGTCCAGTAGTGATGCAACGATTTCCACCAAACCATCATTCGTTTTCGAAGATGTTTCCGATGATGACATCGATGGTGATCAAACTCAAGATGAATTAGTACCTAGTCCATCGGAATACGATGAATATTCAGGTCTATCTGATGATCTTGATCTTGGTCTACACGATGATGATGATACTGCTGCTGCAGAAGACGATGATGATGAAGCTATGAATGGAAGTGATGATGACAATGATGTAAGTGAATACTTCTGATTAAATGCTAGTTTTGTTCATGTTCTGTTTCCTTTTAGCTAAACTTCGAAGAAAACGGTCATACGAACGGAAATAATAACGAAAGCGACGAGGATGATTCATCATAGTTGTTGGTTCTACTGATTTTGTTTTGTTTTCTGTTTTTTTTTTGTATTATCAACGTACTATTTCAAAAGAAAGAAAGACAAACAAAGGTATTCTTTCAGACTACAGAATAACAATCATTTATAGTGAAATTTTGCTTTTTGATGGCTGTCCAAGCTAATGCACATAGATACAGTAAAAAAGAGCATTCGACTTTATTTATCGACGAGTAGTCATCGTACGCACCTAATCGGAAACAAACAAAAACACAGTACAAAATATTTTGCAATCATCATGCTTAGATACGTACGACTGTCAATAAGCCACTAGCTACTTGGGCAGTATCTGAGAGAGATTGAGACATCTAAAAAGATATGAGATGGTAGTTCGAGAGAAGAACAAGATGAATATGTATATTTTTATATACCGAAGGCCGAACGACACCAGTTGCTTCGTAATCGCCTAAATGTCGTTCCAGAAAATGCATGGTGTTAATCTTATCTGGAGATTTATCTTGAAGCATGTAGATTTCTGCAGATCGATAAATAGTGGCGATGGACAATCGTTTGGTGTACCATTTGATCTTGAAAAGAAAAGAAAAAGATGCAAGAGGTGCTAGAAAGATATGAAAGAATTTTTACGTCTGTGGATGTATCACCGATGCTGAACCAGGCATCACTAGCGAGATCTAATAAACTTCTCCAAGCCCGTTTGGCATTCGGAGGTAAACCTTTCTGTGCCAACGCCTAGAATGAAGTAACGTCGATCGTTCTTTGCACTTGATTCATGGGACATTCTTTTGAAGTATTTGTTTACCTGCTCCCAAGTACTAGCATAGGGTATAACCAATTTCAGTCGATATTTGAGGCCGTCTAAAAGCAGAGCAGTTCCTTGTAAATTTTCTCTAAAACACCGAAGAATAAAATGAGATTAGGCAGATAATGATTACTTTGTAGCTAATTCATTCATGTAAGCAACCATTTTTGCATTTGCATCACGCATAAAATATTCTACAAGATCATAACCATTATAAAATAAAGATTCTGTTGACGCCGGCTGATTGCATGCTTGCATACCTGTTTCAAAGACAAATGATAGGTGAAAAATACATACGTAATGAAATATAACAAACCAGCTCGAATGGCTTCCATTGACCATCCGTTTTCATGTACAAACTTCAATGATTCACATAAAATTTGATTGCGTAGACTATTTTCATACTGGTCAGGTGTGTCCTCAACGTCACTATTAAAAGAACATATATGTTATAGATGAAATCGAGAACGAGAGAGAGGTTTGAAACTGTATCTCTTAACTATCCTATGAGAGTACTTTTTAGAGTGTATTACTATGTTTATTTATTACGTATTTCTAAAATAATGCATATATTTAGTTTATCTTTTGAAGTAAAAAGGGAAAATGAAAGAAGGAGAAATCTTTTGTTTTCAAATGTTATATAGAGAAAATAATACAAATGGATAGAATAGAATTTAAAAAGTTAAGTTGATCTTATTTTTTTCAAAAATAATTCATTTTGCTTGCCTTGGTTTGTTCTTATTGCCTGTTGTGAATGGATCTTCTTTTGGATGCTTCATTGAATCCGCAGATGTGTCTTGTCCGCCGAACACTTTACCTTTCACTGCAGTTTCATATTTTACTGATTCGTGCGGTGTTGGTGGACCGTTCGATTGGAATTGCGCAGTTGGAGAAGATATTGTAGAATAAACTTCAGCTGAAGAAACTTTAGGCATGAAATTGGATTCCACAACTGATGCTGATGATAATGGCGTGCCAGGTTCAAATGTTTCGAATGCAGAAGCAGCTTCTGCTTCAGCTAATTTGGCGGATGTGATGTCTGATTGTAATTTGTGTGTTTGAAATGGATCGGTAATATTCACTTCACCTTGTGTAGTATAAACAGTTTTATCCTGGATGTGTTGAACATCGTTGTTAGTTTTTGGGACGAATGTTGTTCCTTTATTAGCAACATGTACCCGGCTTGGACTTTGATTTGACCTATATATATAGAAAAGTCGGTTAGTTAATAGACGACTTGTTATTTCACGTCTTCGAGGAGAAATTCAGAGAAAAACATGCTTACCAGACTTTTCCACCACCCACCGCCGTTGTATTTAATGTTGTATTGATTGTTTCTGGTGGTTGATGATGATGTTTGAGATCATCAGGCACATGAGTTTCTTGTTTAGCTGTTGATGGCTTGTATAAATCAGCATGGGAATCGACTTTGTTCGAATTTTTATTTTGTGTTGCTAAACATCGCTGAAAGATTCCATTATTCACATTGTAGAGTTTAACCCCATGTTCCAGTAATGACCCATCATTCTTCGAATGATGCATGGCGATAGCCCGGATAAATCGAGATGACGATCCAGCTAGGAAACAAAAAATATTCAGACTACGACTAATAATCAATGAATAGTACTTACCAAGGGAAGAAAATCGTTGCATTATTGCCTTCAATAAATACGTGTTATGGCTAGACTATCTCTATCTTATTACTATCGTATGCTATATTTACAATAGGTAACCGATTATGTCGCTAGAATCGACGTCAATAGAAAGAGAATATATCACCTAGAAAGAATTAAATATTGGATGTACTAAAATAAGCAGAATTTGATTTGGAAAGTTGACGCATCGGAAGTGGTTGTAGTTCAATTTGCGATAGGCGAATAAAACGAACCAATAACAACGAAGAAAATCAATGCTTTTATACTTATACTTATCACGTTTCGCTCTTCCTCTTCGTGATTATTGACAAGTTTCACTTGCTGAAGAATATTAGACAATATTTTCTGATGGCAACGCTAGTCAAAGATGACGAGCTACGATCTTTCGATGTTCCAGAAGTGACTCGTCATGCTGGTGGTTATACGATATACAAAATCGTATTGCAAGTAACACCCAAAGAAATAACTGAGAATAGTTATCAGGTATGCAAATAACATTCGTTTGGAGTAAGAGAGAGAATTTATGCTTTGAATAAATGTCTTCTAGATCATCTATTGGAAACGTTATTCGGATATTCGTAAATTGTATGATACACTTCATCGTTATCATCAAGCTATCTACCGTCCTGGAAAATTTCCAGATTTTCCCGAGAAATCATCGTATATGGGTACTGACAGAGAGAGAATGTTTCATGATCTTATTTCACATATACGAATTTAGAACGTTTCAATCCTGCTGTTATCGAAGAGCGGCGAGTAGCTACGAAAAAGTTTCTGAATTATGCTGTCGAGCATTTATACTTACGCACACACGATGCATATATAAATTTCTTTCAGGTAACGTGATTTTATTGTAAAGGATTATCACCCCTCGACAGCATATCGTTATCATTGATTTAGTTTAGAAAGGTGAAAAATTATTATTGCCGGACGTTACAGTAGACACACTACAACCAGAATCAATCAGTCCAAAGGAACCGAATATTTCTCTTCCTGACTTGCCAACAACTGTGCAATCAACATCAACTGATGAGAAACATGATGAACTTCTGTTCAATGTCGATGAACAAGATGCAATTTTAAATCATCCATTACCGAAAATACTTGACGATCTCAATGATCTCACATTTGACCAACATGATCCTAATCCAGATCCTTCAGGTAACGGAAGGCGGAAATCTTATTTCATTATTCCACTGGAATCTCTCGTGTTTAGATCTACACACAAGTACAGAAACGCCAAGCATACCACCATTAAATAGTGATACTAATGAATCATCTTAAAAAGTATTTGTTTATCTTCGCATTCCTTTTCTAATCAATCTTTAACTACCACAGAGAAGTTATCTTTTAATATATTCGAAGATTTTTCAATAACATTGTATTCTTTTTGAATAACATCGTCATAAAGTTCGCTAATGTTTGCATGTATGTTAAAACGAATTCGAATAGTCTCGATCGATTCGTTAAGAAAAAAACCCTTCTCATCTGACGGAGTCATCTGTCGGCTAAAAAACCAATAAATAGCGATTACATCGAGCGACAAGACAAGACTGGTAGTTGGATGAGCGAATGTAAGGAAACGTCAGGTATTTTGATTCGTTGCGTGTTTCGTCAAGGGTGATGCAGCAATTTATAAAATCGTATCTACGACGACTAAAGGTGATGGCTTTACGTCCTGAAATTCACTTTTCATCGGTTTTTGAGCATTGCGCAGCTAATAAACATTTTCAAAGTTTTCAAGGAAATCCATTAAATCATTTAAATATTCATCGAAAATCAATTGAAGACGTTGTTCGACATCCTCAATCACGATTTCTCACCTACCGGCAATTGAAAGTCTTATTTAATCCGGAGAAAAAACAACCTGTCTGGCTCACTTATCGAAATCTATTCGAAAGTGACACTGAACCAAAACTGACCGTTGATCAATGTGAAGTTGTCTTGCTCGGGATCGGTTCTCGATTGATTGTCGATCGACCCTCATTATTAAAGAATACCGAAGAAACCAAAATCGATCATAAACTTCTAAGTAAATATTTATTAGAATCTGAGCCCACGCCAGATGAATATATTTATTTTGCTCTGTCGATTCCCACACAGTTTGCAGATAATCTAACGGGCACATACATAGATCTTCGATCATTATTGCCTCAATTATCTGTGATCGATGCAGCGCTGTGTGGACAAGGTCGTGCCCTTCTGGAATGGCACGCGTCGTATCAATATTGCGGTAAATGTGGTTCACCCTCAAAATCACTTGAAGGTGGAGTACGACGTAAATGTACGAAATGTAACACTACAATTTATCCACGAACAGATCCAGTGGCGATAACGTTAGTTATTCATTCAGACAATGAACATGTTTTGCTCGGGCGCAAAGCTTCATTTCCGCCCTTTATGTACACGTGTTTAGCTGGATTTATGGAGCCCGGTGAATCAATACCAGAAGCTTGCTCACGCGAGATTTGGGAAGAGAGTGGCATCATTATTGATACAAATACTGTACGATATTTCGATTCTCAGCCATGGCCCTTTCTCGGTGGTCAGCTGATGATTGGATGTTATGCCTCTGCGGTCGATGAAACAATTACATTACACGATTCTGAACTAGAAGATTGTCAATGGTTTTCTCGCGCAGACGTTGCTGAAATGATACAGAGAGCTCGAAATATTAACCTTGACAAAAATGACCAAGGTCTGCGCATTCCGCCACCGATTGCAATAGCACATCAATTAATTTCAAACTGGTTCTCAACAACAACATCGAAAACCTAAATAATAGTCATTCGAATCTTTTTCTATGTTTTATCAAATAAATGATTTAAACGAACAAGGAAATTCATTCGAGTAGGCACTCTTCTTTGTATTCGAGTTGACGTTGATTGTACAAGACATGACAGTGTACTTAAAATATAATCATTCATCGATAATCAGATGTCATTCCTGATCTTCCAAACAGAAAGATGATCAAGTGTGCGTGAGACAAGGTCAAATATCTGATTAAATATTGAATGTTCATGTTATATCAGTTCTAGATAACGATCTCAAAACGCCTAATTATAAATATATGATTCATAAAGAATATCTTGATTGACGTATTTCACTTATTAATCATCGCACGATGATTTGCATTGATACGAGACACATCCTTTTTATTTTTCTTAATCACCAGCGTTTACTTAAATGACGGGCGTAAGTCATACTCGTATTAATGAATATATTTAGTTTCAAAGATAATACTTCAAACTTGTCACTGTTTTTGTCATTGATTGCGAAGATAAACAGGGAAAATAGTTTGTCGTCCAGGTCAGACGTATCATATGTCGTCATTTGTCATGTCATCGGTATTAATAAAAGAAAGCTACTCGCTGATGACACTTGTGAAACTTGAAGAAGTCAAGAATCTCTATCTGTTGACTATTCACAAAGTCAGTCATCAATAGACAACATCTCATTAGCTTTCTACATTGAACTGTGGAACAAAATGAGATTTCATAAAGTACAAGAGCCCTTAAATGTCTAAATTACTACATGTTTCCGCATCAATTACACACAGTCTGTGTTGTAAGTTACCAGTTATGCTATCAGCAAAAGAAGTTTGTGCCGGGATATAATCAAGGTTAACATAACAGAATCTCAAAAATTAAGGCAACAAAGTCGGATCGCCTGGACTTGTTAGAGACTACGGAATAAATTCGATAAATTAGTTCTCTTTCAGGGTTAACATATTATCTTAACAAATTTGTAATCACATTTTCTACTGGTTGATTACCTAAGGGGATGCACTCCCGCCTTTCCGGAGTTTCTCACGAACAACTTAGTAAAACGTTTCACTGTAAACATCAGAATAGACAGGACAACAAAGTATATCAAGTTTTCGAGGAATCAGAGGAGCGCAAAAACTCTTCGAAGTAGGAAAAAAACGAGAGAAGAAAACGGATGGCCATCAGAGGAGGAATTTTATTTTGAATAATCATATTTAACTACTTCCGCGTTGCATTTAAATATAGTTACACGAACCAGTGAATATATCTATCAGATTAAGACCAAAAGTTCAGATTATGGAACAGCACGATGAACAGATTAAGAAAATCCCTGTAGGCTCCAAAATATCAAGTCTGATTTTAAATTAACAAATCATATATTCATCCGAAATCAATAATACACCTTCGAATAATCCTACTTATTAATATCCTAATGACATATTCATGTTCATCTTCTTTTAGTCGTTTTTCTCATTAGTTCTCTTCTCATGACAGTAGCATTAGCCACTTGAGATAATCGTTCCACGACTACTATCATCAAAAAATACTTCATTTGCGTTGTTAGTGATGGTGTGCTAACAAACGATACTCATGAGTGAAACAAGAAGAAGAAAAATTCCCGCAATAAAGGACGACGAAAAAAAAATCAAATCCTTCCTCCTTTTGTCGTTCTCTGTTTTTTCCTCTCTGCTTTCTCCATTCTTTTTATCTATTCATTCAGTATGTCTTGTCGAGTTTGAGTAAAATACAATGATCGAGTTTCTGTTGGCGTCTTAGTTTTTCTTCGACTTGTGTCACATCTGAAAAACACTATTTCTTCAGCTTTTTTCCTTCTTCTTCTTCTTCTTCTTGTTCTTTTGCTCATTTTTTTCCTCCTATACACGGAGCTTTGTTTTTCCTCTATGCTGTTCACGAGAAAAACCAAGCAGCAAGTCAACATAGAAAATACGTCTACCCAAAAGGAAAGACAATTTATGCGTAACTTTATATTCACAGACTAATAAGCACTGGCAGTGAACAATGAACTTCAACTTGAAAGCAGCTGGTACTCTTTTTTCTCGAGCAAAACAGGTAGAATATCATCCGACATTGAACGTAAACTGACTTGTTTTCCATTGGTTTGTAGTTCACCGAAGAAAAACTCGGACAAGTTACTGACCGAACGGAATATGACGATCACTTCGAGCAATTGTTAGCGCGAGCAGACCGAACAAAATTATGGACGGAACGATTGACATCACATGTCGAAGCGGTTCTTCAGCCTAATCCAAGTAATAAGATTGATTATGCAACTTTAGAATCGATGTACCGTAAAACATTCTTTTCAGATGAACGTCTCGAAGATTTTATCTTGACAAAGCTTGATCAAAGAAGTTTGAATAAACCAAACATTTACGAACAGCTTGGTCATTGTATGTGTGAAGCAGGAAATGATTTCGGTCCGTCAACACAATATGGTGAGACAAAGGGAATCTCTTTTGGTATGCGAATGTCTGTCAAAATAGGTTCAACGTTAATCAAGTGTGGTCAATGTCATCAAAAACTAGGCATTGCTCACAAAGAATTCATTCATTCAGCGGCTGCTGGTTTCATGCAACCACTAAAGAGTTTCCTTGATGGGGAAATGCGATCTTTGACAGTAGGATCACAATTAACTAATTGCAAAACTAAATCTTTTGAAAAATATTCTAATTCTAGAAAGAACGTCGGACATTAGAAATGAAACGTCTCGATCTTGACGCTGCTAGGTCAAAACAAAAAAAAGCGAAAGCGATGAATAGTAATGTACCAATGGCGATGGCGGATGTAAATTTCCATGGATGACATCTTATTTTAATCTTAACTACTTTTGCTTTCTTTCAGAGTTCCGATACGGAATTACGTCATGCACAAACGGAATTTGACCGTCAATTAGAGATAACACGTTTATTACTGGATAGTTTGAATAATTCTCATGTAAATTTCATTTAACAGACATCAGGAAAGGGAAATTTGAAAGTTTCTTGCGCTATTTAGAATCATCATCTACGTTGCTTACATGATCTTATTGAATCAGAATTACAATACCATCAACAAACAGTTCAAATTCTCGAAGATTTGCGTAAACAATTAGGGTAAATACATCGTGATCAATAATAAATATCATCTCATTTGAATATTCATTCTCTAGAGTGTCTAAATCAACATCAAACTCGTCGTCAGTTGCAACAGCAGCAACAGCAGCAGCTGCTGCTGCAGTGCCACCACCACGTGCGACACCGCCACTACGCACTGCCACTGTTAAATTTGATTACGATGCATCAGATAGTGCTGAATTAAGTGTTCTAGCTAAAGAAGTATAAAGACTTTATTCATTTAGTTCATTCTCTTTCATTTTGACTTTGTTGTAGACCGTTAATATTATTTTGGATGATAATGAAAAGCTATCGGAAGATGCCGAATGGATTACAGTCGAGCGACCCACTACGAAAGAACGAGGCCGTGTACCACGTGGCTATTTACGAATAGATTCCTTATCTTGATTGAATTCATCCCTCTGTTTCATTTTCTCTCTCGCTGTGCGTTTGATCGTCTTCCAAAACATGTAAACTATTTCTTGTCATTTGTAATACACCTTGTGATATGTTTCGGCTGACGAGCGCACAAAATAGTTTAATTGTGTATGCAATTGAAATGCTTATTTATCATATTTATAGTATCGGATGATGTATTTTTCCTAATTAATTGTATTTTATTTACTCAAGGAAATAAATTCACTAGCTGACCGTTTTGGGAATACCAATCATATCAAAATGCAGTTATTCGAAATCTTCAAATAGATTTTGACATGATTTCAGCTAGATTGGATGCATTAATTAGAATAGATTCGAAGATAAGTAAAGACATACTAAATAGAAAATGAATCGTGTTGTTCACACAAAAAAAAAACACGATTGATCATACCCGATAGCATGGTTTTTTTTTCTGAACAGTATTGACTTTAACAAATGATATGTGCTTCGATAAGCATCATTGCTTGAGTGAGTGTTTAGTAGAGTAAAAATATTCTTATGAAATCATTTTTCGTCAGTTAAACACACTGATGTCAGGCTTCTTTCATTCATTTAATGCGAGTTCTTCTTTTCAATTGAACAAAAGTAGGCCTGACTGAACATCGAACTTCTATTTAATGATAACACCTTATATTCTCTATGTGTAATAATTGTTTTTTGACGTGAAACTTTATAAATTATCGGAGCACATTTTGCTCGATGTTGACATCGTTTTTGTCGTTTAGAAGATATCGATAATTAATGAGAAATGCTACATCCTGTGCAAAGTTTTGCAATTGAGAAGAATTGATAAGGTGAATGGCAACTGCTTTTCGATTGTATTGGATCGAACTAATAATCTTTCCGATTCCATGATTTTATCAGTCTCTTAAGATTGATGAGTATGAATGAACATAGAATGTGAGTACATGGATTTGATAAGAAAAGAACTTAAATGTGCCATTTGAATGTGACAACCTGTCAAGTTCTCTTTTTAATTTACTTTTTATATAAGGATGATATTTTGTTTCTCTTCTTTTGTACTCTATTCAGAAGTTTTTTTACATTTTCTCGTTTCTATTCATGTTTAAAGTATATGCATATGAAACAAAAGCAAACGATTATCTTCACATCATGCTAGATTTGTGTATATGCCTCGTCAATTTTCATAGATCAGGTGCACATGAACGAGATGAAAGATTTCTTTACTCGTCTNTTCAAGTTGAGATGAAGAAGTAGAAGAGAAGGATACTTCAACTGATTCTCAAGTAGCAATTTTGTTGTGTTGCTGTCCAACTCTTGACTTAGGTGCTTGAAGAGAAAAAGAAGATATCATCATTCTCATGAGAAAGTTTACTTTACTATGATTACTATTGAAATTTGAATTGCTGGATTGCATCGCATATTTTCACGTCAATCATCATTCTACTCTCGTGTAAATTGTTTCATCTTCATATTTAAATAAATTTCGATTGAAAAATCAAACACTACAAATGCAATTATGAAGAATGAATGTTAACTTTAAAGAAAGAATCTCGATGACGGGCAGCTGATTGTCTCACATTAGATGCATCCACTAGAAAATCTAATTGATCGTGTATAAGTATCAGTCTAAACATTGTTTTATTGATCAACGATGTTGTACAAATCTTTTTTCCTTTATTTTGCTAAGCCGATAATGAGTATAGATGTGTTAAGTGGACGACCTTCACTTTGCCTTGAGCGCGTGACATACATAGAGTAAAGGATTAGTAAAGACGATATGTCAATATTGACTCGAATCTTGCCGGACAGACTGGAAAAATTCGTCTCGTTTTTCAAACAGAAAAGGTTCGTTTCGTTTTCTTTTTGAAATCTATTCCAGGCTTGTTTCGATGATGACAGTTTGTCGCGATTGACACGCACATATAGTCCCCAATCGAATCAAATCACGCGCATTCATATGCATATACAGTGACAGCATCATCATCATCATCACCACTGTTTGTCACCTAAATAATATAACCACAAGAGAGACGCTTGGTCACGCAATTCACTCAATTTCTCCTCAATAGACGATGATGATCGGTGCTCTATAGGGAAAAAACGGATATGTTCATGAGTCCGAACAATTCAATTTTCTAATTAGGTTTTCTTTCTCGCGCGCTACATATGTATGTAGATGAACTAATGATGCATATATCGAATGTTGTGACATTAAGGGAAAAAAATGTGACAAATGTTGATTTCATCGTTTACATACGATCGGATTTCTCAAACAACAACAACAACAACAACAGCTCGAATAATAACACTTCATATTATGTGAACGATAGGAAAATTGATCTATGAGAATGATGATATCTTCTTTTTCTCTTCAAGCACCTAAGTCAAGAGTTGGACAGCAACACAACAAAATTGCTACTTGAGAATCAGTTGAAGTATCCTTCTCTTCTACTTCTTCATCTCAACTTGAACTATCGTTCGTCTTCGCTTTCATTCACCTTCCGACCGACAGTGACGGAAGGAAGTCGAACGACGTCCGTTTAATTGGCATCGTCGTTCCAATACATAATCGAAAAAGAAGAAAATCGAGAATGAGAAAGAGAGAAAAATCAAAACGAGACATTCATCAAAAGACGATACCAGATCTTAGACTGATGCTTAAGTCACGCACATAAAACGAAAAAGAAAGGATATCAGCCGGTTTAATATCACGAAAGAATGCATTTGCATGTTGTCAGGAAACAATTGGTAATGTTTGTCGGTTATTCGTTTGATCTAGAAATTCATATTCCAAATGGATAAGGTACTTGTCTATATAATTAAAAAATGAGAAAGAAAGGAAGAAAGACATTCTTTGTCAATAATCGAATGCCATAGATCCCGCCTTCGGGCGTCGCTTCATTACATCGAGCCAACCCATTTTCTCTTGGGAAATAGTCTTTCTCTTTTTCTTAATGGTGGATCAAACGGATGATATCTTTCACATAGAACACCCATGTTCATTCGAGCACAATCAAATACACATAAAAAAATATATATAGGTGCTGTCTCCCACACATTTACATACATTTCTGTCTACGGTACATGTGCCACGTAAAAAAAGATCATTTTGACACCTCTATGT